GAGGAGCCGCAGTAGAAGTGACAGTACGAATGTAGCAATCGTAATAAGGGCCGCAGTAGCCGCGGAATTAGTAGTGGAGGTAGTCGCAGTAGTAGTAGTAGTAGTCGTAGTAGTAGTAGTAGTTGTAGTAAGAGTAGTAGTAGTAGTCGTGGTAGTAGTAGTAGTAGTAGTCGTAGTAGTAGTAGTAGTGGTAATAGTAGTCGTAGTCGTAGTAATTGTAGTAGTAGAACAAGTACTGATAGTAGAAGTAGTCGTAATAGTAGTCGCAGTCGTGGGGGTAGTAGTAGTTCCAGTAGTAGTCATAGTACCAGCAATAGGAGTAACCATATTCGTAGTATGGGTAGTACTCGTAGTAGCAGAAGGAGTAGCCGTAGTCGTAGAAGTAGTGGTACTAGCACTGGTAGTAGTAGTAGTAGTAGTAGTAGTAGTAGTAGTAGTAGTAGTAGAAGTCATAGTAGAAGTAGTAGTAGTAGTAGTAGTAGTAGTAGTAGTAGTAGTAGTCTGAGTAGTAATCGTAGTTGTAGTAGTAGCAGTAGTAGTAGTAATATTAGCGAACGTAGTCGTAGCCGTAAGCGTCGCCATAATCGTCCTAATACGACTCGTAGTCTTCGTAGCAGTAGTAGTAGCCGTAGTAGTCGTAGTGGTGGTAGCAGTAATACGTTTTGAAATAATAGTAGTCAAAAGAGTAGTAGTGGTACTAGGTGTAGGAGTAGGGATAGAACCATTAGTGATAGTAAGAAGTAGTAGGAAACGCCGTAGTAGCCGTAGAAGTAGTAAACGGACCAGTGGCAACAGTATGTATTATGGTGGTAATAGTCGCAGTAGTAAACGTAAGGTCAGTGGTAGTAGAAGGAGTAGCCGGAGTAGAAGTAGTAATAGTAGTAGTAGTAGTAGTAGTAGTAGTGCAAGTCCTCATAGACATGACAATACTAGCGGGAGTATAAGTAGTAGCAGTAGTAGTTGTAGTAGTAGTAGTAGTAGTAGTAGTAGTAGTAGTAGTAGTAATCAGTGAGAGTAGTCGTAGTAGTAGTAGTAGGAGTAGTAGTAATAATAAAAGTGAAGCTAGGAACAGTAGTAGTAGTAGTAGTAGTAGTAGTAATAGTAGTAGTAGTAAGGTAGTAGTAGGAGTAGTAGTCGTAGTAGTAGTTAGTAGAAGTGTAGAAGTAGTAGTAGTAGTAGTAGTAGTAGTAGTAGTAGTAGTAGTAGTACCGCCCCCCCCTTTGATTTGACCCCGATACCCCCTTCCTGGGGGACTTCCCCCCCCTCTGCCCCTCCCTCCCTGAGGAGTCCAATCGAGGAGTCCAATCATTCGCTTCATGGGGGGAGGCCGCGGCCCCATGAAGCGAATCCCGCATGCTCGGGGGGCGAAAGTCCAAAAACACAGGGGAAAAACAAAAAAAAAAAAAAAAAAAAAAAATCCTGGCGAACTTTTCGCCCTCCCCACCCCCTCCGAGGAATTCCTCAGGATTGTTGTTTTGTGTGTTTTTTGTTTTTTTTTTGTTTTTCCTTGTGTTTTTTTGGTTTTTCTGCCCTCCACCCTTCCCCCTGGGGAGCGGGCGGCCCCAGGAGCCCCCAAGAGGACCATGGGAGGCACCAGAGAGCCCCCAGAGAGGCATGATGAGAGGGGGGATTCTGTAGCAGTTTTGGGCAATCCTGATTCGCCATCCTCTACCATGGTTCGTAAACATTGAAATTCAACACTGCGTGAACCTCACTGCTCCCCGCTCGCTGTTTCCACTCTTCCTTCCTTGTGGTGCTCCTAGCAGCCAAAGTAACAAAAACAACTACGACTACTACTACGACTACTACTACGATTGTTACTGCGACTACTACTACTACTACTACTACTACTACTGCTACTACTACTACGACTACGACTACTACTACTACTACTACTAGTACTAGTACTAGTACTAGTACTAGTACTACTACTACTACTACTACTACTACTACTACTACTACTACTACTACTACTACTAGTACTACTAGTACTACTACTGCTACTACTACCACTACCACTACTACCACTACTACTACCACTGCTATTACTACTACTACTACTGCTACTACTACAACTACTACTACGACTACTGCTACTACGACTGCTACTATTACTACTACTGCTATTATTACCATTCGTACTACTACTACGACTACATTTAGTACTACTACTACTATTACTACTACTACTACTACGACCACTACTACTACTAACCCTTCTAGTGCTACTATTCTACTAATTTATTACTACGACTACTCATGTTACTACTACTGGTACTTCTACTACTACTACTACTACGAGTATCACCACTACTCTCACTACTACGACGACGACTACTACTACTACTACTCCTACTAGTACTACTACTACTACTACTACTACTATTACTTTTACTACTACTACTACTACCACTACGACCGCTACTACCACTACTTCTACTGCAACTACTACTACCACTACTACTACTACTACTACTACTACTACTACTACTGCTACCACTACTACTACTACTACTACTACTAGTAGTACTACTACTACTACTACTACTACTACAAGCATCACTACAACTACTACTACTAGTATTACTACAACTACCATTACCACTACCACTGCCACTACTACTACTACTGCCAGTGCTACTACTACTGCTGCCCCTATTGTTATTACTACTACTACTACTACTACTACTACTACTACTACTACTACTACTATTCCGGCTACAATTACTATCACTACTACTACCTCTACGACTCCGACGACTAATACTACTCCTCCTGCTACTGCTACTACGACTCTACGACCACCACGGTGACGACGACGACAACGACTACTACTACTACTGCTACTACTACTACTACTACTACTACTACTGCTACTCTGCTAGTAGTCTTACTACTGCCACCCTTGCTACTATTACTATTACTACCACCGCGACTACTATTACTGTTACTCTCATGTCTACTACTACTACTACTACTACTAGTCTTGGTACTCGTACTAGTCGTAGTACTAGTACTCGTACCAGTACTTTTTAGTACTAGCACTACAGACACCTATACTTCGACTTCTTCGTCTACTGGTGCTTTTCTTCTACTACTATTATTACTAGAACTACTACTACTGCTATTATTACTGCTAATACAACGAGTACTACTACTACTACTACTACTACTACTACTACTACTCCGAGTACTACTCGTATCATGATTATCACTATTACTACGACTACTACTGGTTTCAATATTACTACTAGTAGGGTCACTACTAATCTCACTACTACTGCTACACTTACTACTACTACTCGTCGTCGTCGTAGTAGTAGCCGTAGTCGTAGTCGTAATCGTAGTCGTAGTGGTAGTAATAATAAGAGTAGTCGTAATGGTAGTTGTAGTAGCAGTAGTTGTTGTACTACTACGACGACTACTACTACTACTACTAGCAGTAATAGTCATCGCAGTCGTGGTTGTAGCAGCAGCAGCATTAGCAGTAGTAGTAATAATAAGAATGTAGAAGTACTCGCAACAGCAGCAGTAGCAGTAATATTAGTAGTAGAAGTCGTCGTCGCAGTAGTAGTAGCAGGTGTAGAAGTCGTAGTAGTAGTAGCAGTAGTAGTAGTAGTTATACAAATGATCCTCTCCTCCACCTCCTGCTCCTCCTCTGCATCCTCCTCTTCCTCCTCCTCCTCCTCCTCCTCCTGCTCTTCCTCCTCCTCCTCTTCCTCCTCCTCTCCTTCTCCTGCTTCTCGTTCTCCTCACCTCGATGGGGCCGATTCCGATTCCCATTCCCTCGTTTTCCTCTCCTCCTCATCGTCGCTCTCCTTCTCCGCCTCGTCGTCGTCATCATCCTCCTCCTCAGTCGTCCCTCCTCGCCCTCTTCTCTTCTCATCCTCCTCCCTCCTCCTCCTCGTCCTCATCCTGCTCCTTTCCTCCTCCTCCCGCATCCTCCTCCTTATCTTCCACACACGCTCCCGAAAAACTCGACCTCTTGCGTAGGACATCTTGAGTTATCCCCACTCCTGCGAGCCTGAGGAATCGATCTTCACGGACATCGACAGGCGGTGGAATTGGGTCTATTTGGCCACCCCTCTGAATACATATACGACAACCCTTCAGGTGATAAGGAGGTTCGGGGGGAGGAATCAGCGTCTCACTCAATCGATATCACGATCGATCTGGCTATCGATCTCACTATAGATCGCCCTATCGATCTCGCAGTCGATCTCATAATCAATATCGTTATCGATCCCACTATCGATCTCACTATCGGTGTTACTATCGATTTTCATGACAGGACAGCAACGGGTCAGCGACGGGACAGCGACAGGACAGCGGCGGGACAGCGGCGGGACACCAACGGGACAGCGACGGAACAACGACGGGACACCGACGGGACAGCGGGACAGGCCGGCCACCGCCCGCCCACTGGGGGAGGTTCGGACAATGTCTTGCCCCGCCCTAGCAACAGCGGAGTCATTCTTCTCGCCCGCCCACGCAGCTTCGCCTCGCCCGCACGCGCGACACGAACCCGAAACCATAACCGATTTCCTGGTTGTGGGCTCTCTGTTCCACATCGATCTCACCCCCCAGCCTCGGATACGCATATCCACCGCCTGGCGGGGTCCCCGAAGATCGAATCCCCAGGCGGTGGAGTCAAGCAGGGTGTTTTTTGGCATGGTTTTCTAGGGGCGCCAGGACAGGCGACACCAACACCACCGGGGCGGGGAGATGCACAGAGGCAAGGGGGGTCTGGTCTCCCTGCTGGTGTGGCCCCCCCCCTCCCCCTCGAGACATCCCCAGCCTCCAGCTCGGGGAGGCATCGTGGACCTCCTCGCTGGAGGTGGGCCCCCTGGTGGTGTTGGTGTGGCCTCCCCTCCTTCCAAGAGCGCGGAGAGGCAGCTCGGCCGCCCCGACCTCTTCGGGGCGGCGCTGGCCGCCTGGGCGACCCCCGCGCCTCCGCGCCTCCGCCCGCAGAGAGGCCCCCCCTCACGACGCGGCGTCTCCTGAGGAAGTGCGCCTCGTGGAAGGCGTCGCCGGCCGGGCCCTCCCCGAGGATGGCGGCGCCCTCCTCCAGGTGCTCGTGGATCAGGCTCGCGACCTTCGCCGGTCGACCGCAGCCAATCAGAGGAGAAGAAGGTACCTACAGTTACCGCTACCCGTCCTTTCGTTTTTCCCTTTGGGGGCCTCCTGGGAGGCCAGCGTCGCCACGGCTGGATTCGCCATGAAATCCTGAGCAGAACTAACCCAGGGAGAGGTCTGGGGAGTAGCGGTATCGGTACCCTGGCTTCCCCAGCCAAGGCTGCTTCTTCTGTTGTGGAGGAGGGGGGGCTTGGTGGCTTGGTATGACGCAAGCGGGCTTTGCACCAGTGTGCCCATATGGGCGCACCCGAGTCAGGTCTCTCGCGCCGGCGCTGCCTGCTCCCGGCAGTCTGTGCTGCGCGGCAGAGGAGAGAGGGAGAAAGGGTGCAGAAAGCAAGAAGACGACGGCGAACGTTAGGTCGGGCATGTCCTGCTACAGGCGGACTGGGGGGACAAATAAAGCGTCCTCGAAACAGATGCAGGACAAATGATAGAAAAATCGGCCCCATATTATTTTTGGCTACTTTTGAATATTCCTCCTGTAGAGGGACGTGCCCGACTTGGGGCGAACGCGCGGGCGGGAGGCCAGGGGGCCGGCGGGACGAGGCAGGGGGCAGGCGGGCGGGCGGGGACAGGAGGCGCCATCCCGCGGGGAGGAGGGGGGAGGAGAGGGTGAGGAAGAGGAAGAGTGACGGGAGGCGAGGAGGAGAAAAAGAGCGAGACAGAGAGAGGGGAGCAACAATAGAAACGGGCCCGCAAACGGGCCAGGAGAGAATGGCCACCTAGAGAGGGTCCTGGACCCCAGGGCATTCCCCCGAAGGCGCTCTTCCTCCTGGGAAGCTTCTCGATGGTCCCGGGCTGGGGGAAACCTCGGCTCCTCCGGCGATTCTCATCCGGTCCGACGGTCAAGTAGGGCGATTCTCTCCCAGGCTGGGGAAGCTTCCCGACGGTCCCACGGCGATTCTCTGCCTGGGAAGCCTCTTCCCCGCCCTCGGCCTCCACCACCCGTGGCCCGCTCCCCGGTCCTGGCCTGCCACCCAGCCGCTCCCACACCTCTGCCCGTGGACACGTCCCACGGCCATCCTGCCGACCAGCTTTCTCCGAGACCCGCGCGGCCGCCCCCGCCCCCCACCACAGGGAGGACCACCGCCCAAAGCGATCGAGCGGGACGCCAGACACTGGAGAAAGAAAGCCCGCGCAACCAGAGGCTTAGGTCGGGCATGTTCCCCTACAGGGGGGTCTTGGACGAAAAAACAAGGATTCACCAAACATACGGGGGAGAAAAATTAAAAATCGTCCCTGAACGATGTTTTTAACTATTTGGATGTTCCTGTTGTAGAAGGACGTGCCCGATTGAACCATAGGCTTCTGGTGTCCACTCCGACTTCTTGGATCGGCGCTGGGCCCCCCCGAACTGGCGCGGGGTGCGCGCTCGGGGGCGGCGCTGGAGGCGCTGCCAGGGGGGCCCAGCACCGACCCAGGAAGTCCGCGCGGATCTCCGAGACACTTCCTGTCCATACGCAGTTGCTCGCCGTCGCGTGAACGCCCAAGGAAGAACGAAGGGGCTGCTCTGGCCACGGGGATCCAAGGCCACGAATGCGCCCCCCTGGCCCTTCCATTCTTGGAACACAGACACGACAAGAATCAGCAGCAAGAAGGCCCCGAAAATCAAGAGCGCCCCCCCAGTCCCAGAGTGGCCCTTTTTTGTCCCGGGGTCTGGACTGCACAGGCCTTCTCCAGAATCACGTCGGAGGCCGCGGAGTCGGCGAGCCTCGGGTCGGCTCCCTCGGGGGGCTCCTCCCGCCGGGAGTCCACCTGGACCGAGTCGGCGCGCTCCCGGGCCGCGATCTCCCTCGTCTTGCGCGGGCGCAGCGCCTCGGAAGAGGCAGGGATGGGAAGAGGGGGGAGGCGAGGTGGAGGGGAGGGGGGATGTGAGAGAGGGGAGAGTGAGGACGGGGATGAGGAGGAGAAGGAGCAGGAGGAAGACGAGGACGAGAAGGATGCTACGTCGTCCTCGCGTGCACGGCAGAGCTCCCGGGCAGCGCCAGGTGTAGGCCCCCGGCTGGCGCGCCCCATCTCCCAGAGGGGTGGCTGCCAGCTGCTGCGAGCAACGGCCGTTTTGGGGGGCCCAGCAGGACTCTCAGGAATCCTGCAAGAATTATTTTGGATACCGCCAGGAACTTCTGAAAACCGGAGGCATCTGAACGGCACCCCAGGAAGCACGGAGGAAGTCTGGAGGATGTCTTGAGGAAGCTTGAGGAATTCCCGAAGAATCGGCAGCAAACCTGCATGAATCGTCAAACGTCCTTCGGGAATCCTGCAAGAATCCTCAGGAGTTTGTCGAAATCTCAAGGAATCTTCTGAAGTCTGGGAAACCCGACGGGTCGATGAGGAACCAAATGCAATCCTTGAAGAATCTTCAAGAACCCTTCGTTAACCGACAGGAGCCCGCAGGAATCCGCCAGGAGTCCGGAGGCGTCCGAATCGCACCAGAAACAGAATCTCAGAAACGATCGCACCGATCCGAGCCGGAGGGCGCGGCGAATTCTCAAGAACCTTCGGGGATCTCTTGAGAACCCGAAGGAATCTTCACGAGTACATCCGGAATGCCGGAAGGAATCCTCGAGAATCTGTCGGGAATCGACAGGGGTCCCAAGAACCCTTCAGGGATCGCTCTGCATTCCCCAATAACCTTCTAGGGCTCCGCAACAGGAGTCTTCAGGAATCCTTGCGGATCATCGCGACTCCTCCAAGGATCGCCAGAGATCCGTTATGAATCTTCGCAAACCCAAGAGGAATCCCTCAGGAACCCTCAGGAATCCATGAGGCATCCTGCAAGAAAAGAACCCCTCAGGAATCAGCAGAAACCCTCAGCAAGTTTGCAGGAACCATTCTAAGTCCCACAAGAATCTTCAGGAGACCGCAGCAGAAATTCTCAGGAACCCTCAGGGATTCTCCCGAATCCTCCAGGAACCCGCCGACATCCTTCAACAAAACTTTAGAAATCCGCCAGAAACCCGCCACGAATTCCCACAAATCCTTCAGGCACTCTAAGGAAACCAAATAACTCTACAGGAACCGGAAGCATCTCGCAGGTATCCTTCAGGTATCAGACCAAACGAATCAAGGAATGCTTTTGGGGGGTGCCGCAGGAATCCATCGAAATCCCACCAGAATCACTCTAGAACCCCCAGCGCAACACGGCCGCGCAGGTCACGTGACCTCCTCATCCACCCTTCCCGCTTCCCCCCCGGACTAACTAATGACATGCACCTTCGCTGGGCGACCTAGCTCCCCAGTGAACCTTGGGAGAAGAGAAGAGGCAAACTGAAAGAGCACAGAAACGACAAGGGATGGGATGATGACAAGGAGGAGGTGGAGGGCGCTTCTGCACTGCGAGCGTGAGCGTACCACTCGCAATGTCAGCCTGGAGCGCCCTGTCTGCTGCTCGAAAGGCAGCTGCGTCCCACACGGAAGCCCTGCCTCAGCACGGCACCCGGGGCAACGCGCACGGAATCGGGAACACGATGGGTCTTCCATCCCCCCCTGCGGCTCCGAGAACCAGCGGGGACTCCTGCGGGGTCCTGACGGATCTTGCAGGATGTCTGGGCGGGTAGGTCACTACTCCTAAGGGGTTCTCAGGCGTCGTTGCTACTCCCGCGGGTCCCTGAAGAGTTCTTTTGAAGGATCCCTGCAGGATGCCTGAAGGATAGATGCTTCCGGTCTGTGCGGGTGCTGGCGGATTCTTGGGTTCTGAAAGCTCGCGGCGCTTCCTGAAGGATTCTCTAAAAGAACCCTGAAAAGGATTCCTGCGGACCCCTAAAACGCCCACTGGGAAACCGAAGGTCTCGTGAGGATCCCAGATGTGCATCATGAAGGTCAGGCCGACTTAGAGGTTCAAGCCGCTCTGGGTTAGCTAGGCTGTCTCGGGCTGTGTTTGGCTAGGCTTAAGCTGGGCGTTTCCCCCTCCAGGGGGATTTTGGACGAAAAATAAGAAAGACTCCACACATGTTCAAAAATAGGAAAAAGAAAAAACAAAACATCGTACCCAGATTATGTTTAACATAGTTCCAAATATTCCTCCTGTAGAGGGACAGGCCCGACTGAAGGCTAGGCCGTCTTGGACTCTCTTGGGCCGTTTCGGACTAGGCTAAACTTGGTCCCCGTGTGCTCTCTGTGTCGCTTGCTGCGTGCTGTCGCACAGCGAGGTGGCCCCCCCGCGGCCTCCAGAGGCCTCCATGGCATCCAGTGGCCCCCTGTGGCCTCCAGCGGCGCCAGAAAGAGACATCGGAACGTTGGAGGCGCAGGACAGCCAGACCAAACGACAACAGAAGGCCCCCCGGATCGTCCCCTGAAGTGGAGAGGGGACGGGGACGAAGGCCTTGAAGCTGAGCGGGCCCGACAGCTCCGCCATCGGGTACTGGCCGACCGTGTACCTCGACATCCGCCCGCATGGTGTCTTCCCTCCCGCGTCCCACCCGCGCACCGCACACACCTCACCTCCCCCTGCTACTTCTCCTTCTCACCTGCACTCGCACCCGCATCACACGCAAACGAACATACAGTCACACGTGCACGCGAAGAGCCCTCGCGTGCAGCACACATACACACAGCACACACACAGAGCGCACACGCAACACACACATACCCACAGCACACATACACACCACACATCATACAAACACGCATCCGCGCGCACACTCTCTCTCTCTCTCTCGCACACACAAACCATGCGGCGCTGATACAGACCTGGCGGGTTGATTGCATCGTACACCCCAGACGCATGCACCACATACTAGGCACATCCATTAGATAGACGCCCACCTACAGCCGCTCACACATTATACACAACTGCAAAATACATACAAGTAGGATTCGCAGGGCGTGGCAAGTGTGGCAGTTTCTCTTCACCAAAGGGGGTGCGCAAAGGGTGGTCCCTCAGCGTGGCCCCTACGCGTGCCAGAGTCGGAAAGCATGGCAGGCGTGGCATTTCCTTGGCACTAGAGGAGGTGCGCAGGGGGTGGTCCCTGAGCGCGGTCTCTATCCACGCTAGGGTCGCAGGGTGTGGCATGCGTGGCATTTCATCGACACCAAAGGGGTGCGCAGGAGGTGGTTCATTACCGCGGTCTCTGTACGCAGCGATGTCGCAGAGCCTAGCGTGGCGTTTTCTCAACACCAAAGGAGGTGCGCAAGGAGTGGTCCCTCATTGCGGTCTCTATACGCGCCAATGTCGCGGGGCCGAGCAGGCGTGGCATGTTCTCGACAACAAAAACCAAAAGGGGGTGCGCAGGGGTTGGTCTACCACCGCGGTTTCTATACGCGCCAACGTCGCAGGGCCTAGCGAGGGTGAAACTTGCTCGACACAACTGGGGGTGCGCAGGGGGTTGTCCCTTACAGCGGTCACTATATACGCGCCAATGGCGCAGAGCCTAGCAGGCGTGGCACTGGCTCGACATCAGATACGGTGCGCAGGGAGTGGTCCCCGACCGCGGCCTCTATGCGCGCCAATGTCGCAGGGCCCGGCAGGCGTGGCACTGTTTCGTCACCAGACAAGGGGGGGCGCACGGGGGTGGTCCCTGAGCGCGGCCCCTATCCACGCCAGGGTCGCACGGCGTGGCAGGCGTGGCACATTCTCGGCACCAGAGGGGGTGCGCAGGGGGTAGTCCCTCACCGCGCGGCTTCTCTCCACGCCAACGTCGCCAGGCGTGACAGGCATGGCATTTGCTCGGCACCAGAGGGGGTACGCAGGGGGTGGTACATCACCGCGGCCTCTATACGCGCCAATTTCGAGAGGACTGGCAGGCGTTGCACTTGCTTGGCACCAGACGGGGTGCGCAGGGGGTTGTCCCTCCCCGCGGTCTCTATACGTGCCAACGTCGCAGGACCTAGCAAGTGTTGCGCGTTCTCGACACCACAGGGGGTGCGCAGGGAGTGGTCCCTCACCGTCCCCCCTGTACGCGCCAATGTCGCAGGATCTCGCAAGCGTGGCATTCGCTCGGCACTAAATGGGGTGCGGACGGGGTGGTCCCTCGCCGCTATGTCTAGACGCGCCACTGTCGCAGGGAGTCGTGGCGCTTTCTCGACACCACAGGGGATGCGCAGGGGGTGGTCCCTCACCGCGGCCTCTACGCGCGCCAATGCCGCAGGGCCTAGCAGGCGTGGCACTTGCTCGACACCAGAGAGGGTGCGCAGGGGGCGGCCCCTGAACGCAAATCGTGGCAGGCTGGCACTTCGTCGACATCACGAGAGGTGTGCACAGGGGGTGAGCGCCGTGTTCGTCGCAGCTCGCAAAACCGTGGCAGGCGTGGCACTGTCTCGACACCGCAGATGGTGCGCAGGGCGCGGTTGCCGTGGCCGTCGCGCGCTCGCAAGCAGAGGACTCCATGTCGAAGAGCTGCGCACCGCCGCGCCATCGCCAAAGAAGCGCAATGAAATTATGAATGATGACCAAATCGGAGTGGGAGCGAGCAAGCACGGAAAAGAGATGAGGGGATGATGGAGGAGGTTCACGCAATGCTGCCCTGCAAACGTTGAGATCTTGCGTAGAGGATGTCAATATTAATGACCGTATTTTCTCATGTTCGGGGAAGCAGGATGCGACACAGGTCATGAAGACACGCCACATACTATTCCTTGGTGGCGTAAGTTCAGTCCGCGCCCCTTGGTCCCGACCAGTTCCGCGGGGTCGGCTTTCGTCCCGGATCTTGAAGAGCCCGGGGGCCTGTCCACCAATCCCCGAAGCCGAAATCAAAGAGAAACGCCAAGATTGAACAAATTCATAACAGTATGTCAAGAAATATGGGATGGTTGTAAATCAACCTGGAAAGTGAAATCGAGGAAAAATGTCCAGATCTGACTAATATCGTCGGAGATCTGGGGTGGTGATGACGGGCCCCAGAGATTGAAAATTAGAAGAAACGCTCAGATTGAACAATCTCATATCAGTATCGTCGGAGATATGGGGTGGTGATACGATACTGGGCCCCAAAGACTGAAATCGAGAAGAAACGCTCAGATTGAACAACATCATATTCATATCGTCGGAGATCTGGCGTGGTGGGAAAGGGCCCTGGGGGCCGAAATCACGGACAAACGCCGCGATCTAACAAAAAATCACATCGTCGGAGATCCGGGGTGGTGATAACGGGCCCAGGAGGCCGAACTCGAGGAGAAACGCCTGGGGTGAAAATCGTTGAAGATCGAGGGTGGTGATAGCGGGACCCGCGGGCCAAAATCGAGGAGAAATGCCAGGATTGAACATGTTAGCCAGCATGGACCCTAATCCGTAAGTCGTTGCACTGTGGATGTGTGGCGCAGGCTTTGTGGTGCAAACGATGTGGTGCAAGTTATGCGGTGTACTGTAAGCTATGTCTTAATGGGCCCTGGAAACGACAGGGCCGTTTTTTTACCGGTTCCGTGTTGCCGTTTTTTGCCGGTTCCGACGCCGTTTTTTTACCGGCTCCGTCGCCGTTGTTTGACCGGTTCCGGCTCCAGTTCCAATCCAGGAACCGTTTTTGGGCCGTTTCCGGTCGCCGTTTTTTTGCCGCTTCCACTTTCAAGGGACATTTTTTGGAAACGGTGAAAAAACGAGAACGGGGGATTGTGGAGTCGCTCGGGTTCCACAGCGCGCGCGCGAGGGTTTCGCGCTGAGTTCGCGACTGTTTCTGTGCAAACTCTGCTCAGTGTCGTCCTCCTCCTCCTCCTCCTCCTCCTCCGCCTCCTCCTCCTCCTCCTCCTCCCTCTCCCCCTCCTGCTACCTCTCTGCCTGTTTTTTGTTTCTCCTGGCGCCCCCCCAACAGATAATATATATATATATATATATAGATATATACTTATATATATATATATGTTTGATATGTTGTTTTTCTTTTGGGGGGGGGCGCCAGGAGAAAAAAAAAAAAGGAATGCGACGTGGCCACATCTGCTCTCCCCCTAGAAGGATTCCTATTGGACGCCCCCATGAGAAGGATTCACAGTAAAATCCTCGACAGAAGGGTTCCGATCAAAACCCTCCACTGAATGATTCCTACCGAAATCCTCCACATGTGGATTCCTACTGAAACCCTCCACTGAATGATTCCTACTGAAATCCTCGAATGGCAATGGCAATGGCAATGGCAATGGCAATCGTAATGGTAATGGTAATGGTAATGACAATGGTAATGGTACTGGTAATGGTTACGGTAATGATAGTGGTAACGGGGTAGCGAGGCAATGACTATGGCAATGGCAATGGTAATGGCCATGGCAATGGTAATGGTAAGGGTAGAGGTAAAGGTAGAGTTAAAGGTAACGGTAATGGTAATGGTAACGGTAATGGTAATGGCAATGGCAGTGGCAGGGGTAATGGTAATGGTAATGGGAATGGAAATGGGACTGGGAACGGGAACGGGAATGGAAATGATAGTGGTAGTGGTAATGGTAATGGCACTGGAAATGGTAATGGTAATGGTAATGGCAATGGAAATTGTAATAGTATTGGGAATGGGAATGAGAATTCTAATGGTAATGGCAGCGGTAGTCTCATGGTAATGGTAATGCTAATGGTAATGGGAATGGGAGTGGAAATGGTACTTGCAATGGTAATGGTAGTGACGAATGGCAATGGCAATGGTGATGGTAATGGTAATGACAGAGGTAATGGTAATGGTACTGGTAATGGTAATTGTAACGGTAATGGTAAAGGAGTAGCGATTGGCAATGGCAATGACAATGGCAACGGTAATGGTAATGACAATGGCAATGGGATTGGCAATGGCAATGACAATGATAATGGCCATGGCAATGGCAACGGCAATGTCAAGTGCAATGGTAATGGGAATGGGAATGGGAATGGGAACGGGAATGGGAATGTAAATGGAAGAAAGAAAGGGAACGGGAATGGAAATGGTAGTGGTAGTGGTAACGGAAATGGGAATGCTAAGGGTAAGGGTAAAGGTAAAGGTAGAGGTAAAGGCAATGGTAATGACAATGGAAATGATAATGATAATGGTAATGGTAATGGTAAAGGTAATGGTCATGATAATAGGAATGGCAATGGAAATGGTACTGGCAATGGTAATGGTAGTGGCCAGTGGCAATGGCAATGACAATGCGAATGGTAATGGTAATGACAAAAATAATGGTAATGGTACTGGTAATGGTAACGGTAATGATAGTGGTAACGAGGTGGCGACTGGCAATGGCAATGACAATGACAATGGCAACGGTAATGGTAATGGTAATGGCAATGGCAATGGCAATGGCAATGGTAATGGCCATGGCAATGGCAATGGTAATGGTAATGGCAATGGTAATGTGAATGGGAATGGGAACGGGAATGGTAATGTGAATGGGAATGGGAATGGGAACGGGCATGGAAATGGCAGTGGTAGTGGTAACGGAAATGGGAATGGTAAGGGTAAGGGTAAATGTAAAGGTAGAGGTAAAGCTAATGGTAATGGCAATGGCAATTGTAATGGTAATGGTATTGGGAATGGGAATGTGAATCGGAATGGTAATGGTACTGGCAATGGTAATGGTAGTGGCGAAGGGCAATGGCAATGGCAATGGTAATGGTAATGGTAGTGGCGAATGGCAATGGTAATGGTAGTGGCGAATGGCAATGGCAATAGCAATGGTAATGGTAATGGCAATGACAGTGGTAATGATAATGGTACTGTGAATGGTAATGGTGACAATAACGGTAATGGTAATGGTTATGGCAATGGTAACGGGGTGGCGACTGGCAATGGCAATGACAACGGCGATGGCAATGGTAATGGTAATGGGACTGGCAATGGCAATGGCAATGGGAATGGCAACGGCAATGGCAATGGCAATAGCAATGGCCATGGCAATGGTAATGGTCATGGTCATGGTGATGGTAATGGTAATGGTAATGGTAATGGTAATGGTAATGGGAATCGTAATGGTACTTGGAACGGGAACAGGAATGGAAATGGTGGTGGTAGTGGTAATGATAATGGCAATGGTAATGGAAATGGTACTGGAAACGTTAATTCGAATGGCAATGGTGATGGGAATGGGAATTGTAATGGTGATGGCAGCGGTAATGGTAATGGTAATGGCAATTGTGTTGGTAATGCTAATGATAATGGCAATGATAATGGTAGTGGCGAATGGTAATGGTAATGGGAATGGGAATGGTAACGAAAATGGTAACGGGGTGGCGACTGGCAATGGCAATACCATGGCAATGGCAACGGCAATGGCAATGATAATGGCAATTGTAATGGCAATGGTAATGGCACTGGCAATTGTAATGGCAGTGGTAATGGTAATGGTAAAGGTAAAGGTAAAGATAAAGGTAAAGGTAATGGTAATGGTAACGGTAATGTGAATGGGAATGGGAATGGGAATGGGGATGGTAATGGTAATGGTATTGGGAATGGGAATGGAATGGGAATGGGAGTGGGAGAGATTGAGAGAGAGAGAGAGAGAGAGAAAACGAGAAAGGAAACATCAGCAGAATGATGAGGAACAACGTGAAATATCGTAAATTTTCGTATACAACCCACAGCGACTCCACAATCCCCCGGCCTCGAAAAAACAGCCCTGCCGTTTCCAGGGCCCACAAAGAGCTATGTCATGCTACTCTACGTGGTGCCAACTATGTGGTGCAAGCTACATGGTACAAGCTATGTGAAGTAAGCTGTTGTGCGCGTGCGTGGGCATGTGAACTATGCAGTGAGGCGGTTGACGGGACAGGGGCCGCCGAGGAACGACCCACGGCGACGGGCGGGCACGGGGCCGCAGGGCCCGCAGGCGGGCCCGGGCCTTCAGGAGGGAAGTAAGACGCCCTCAGTGCAAGGCAGGTCGGGACGATTGATGCCCCCAAAAAGAGCCATGGAAAGCAACGAAAAGAAATAAAAAGCAGTGCTGAGCAACGAAAATAACCATGGAAAGCAACGAACAGAAATACACAGCAGTGCAGAGCAACGCAGAGCGATGCAAAGCAATGGCACGCGATGCCAAGGAATGCGAAGCAGTGCAAGGCACTGCGAGGCAGTGCATGGCAGTGCGAAGCAATGAACAGAACTGCAGGGTGAGGACTGCGAGCAGCGCAAAGCAACGCAAAGCCATGCAACACAATGCACACCAATGCAACGAAATGAAAAGCGATGCAAAACAATGCCACACAATGCAAATAACTACTGAGCAATGCAAAGCAATGCAGAGCAGTGCAAAGCAATGCACAGCAATGCAGAGCAATGCAAATCAACGTATTGCGACACAACGCGAGGCACAGCGATGCTAGGCAATGCAAACCATTGTCACACAATGCAAAGCAATGCAAAGCAATGCAAAGCAATGCAAAGCAATGCACAGCAATGCAGAGCAATACAAAGCAATGCAAAGCAATGCAAAACAATGCATAGCAATGCAAAGCAACGTAAAGCAATGCGAAGCAAACCGATGCAACGCAATGTGAAACAATGCCATGCAAAGCAATACAACATAATGCACAACAGTGCAAGCCAACGCAATGCGATGCAGAACGGTGCCAACCGATGCAAAACAGTGCAAAGCAATGCAATGCAATGCAAAGCAATGCGAGTGCACTACGATGCAATCTACTATTGCAAATGATGGCGACGAACGGCGGCGGCAGGCGGCGACGAGCCGGCCGAACCGCGCCACAGGGGCCCAGCGGCGACAGAGGCGAGGGGCGGCGACGGGCCGCGACGAACCGGCCAGACAGGCGATGGGGGCTCAGCGGCGGCGGGCGACGACGAGACGGCCGGACTGGCACTGGAGCTCAGCTGCCTTAAGGAAGGGAGGCAGAACACACCCGAGTGCAAGCTCTGGCGGGGAAAGGCCATACATCGTGAGGTCGGGCATGTCCTCCTGCAGGCGAGTTCTGCAAGAGAGATCCAGAAGATCGAAAAGCCGCGAAAAGTTCTGCAAGAAAAATCCAGAAGAGCCCCCCAAATGATCAAACGTAGCATCGACAAGCCGCGAAACATCGTCGCCAGGCCATCTGTGTACGACTCTCGACTATCATCCTCCTGTAGAAGGGCATTGCCCGACTCGAGAACACATCGTCGGAGCCCCTGGGCACCCCCGCTGCCGCACGAGCAGCTCGGTCCTCGCGTCCGGCTCCAGCCACACCTCCGGCTCCGCGGCCCGCCGCGGGCCCGGCGGCCCCCGGGGGGGCAGCAGCGGCTCCGCGAGCCGCGCGGGCGCGCGGGCGGCGCCCACCATCTCGGCGGGGAGCCGGCGCTCACCGCGAGGCTCGCCCCTCTGTGCTCGCTCGGCGGCGCGCACAGAGGGGGGATGGGGGAGGGAGGAAGGCCTCCTGGAAGGAGGCTGCTTCTCAGACGGCGCGGGCCTGACATCTATACTGACGCGGTAGGAGGGGAGCAGTTCGTGGACACTCACTCCCCCGCCCCCCCCGAACTCAAAGTCGGCACGCGCGGGGGGAAGACTGCGGTCCAAGTGCAACCCATCCGACCCACCGCCAACATTGATCGTGGGGGGTGGGGCATGGACATAAAAACGTGGCACACGAGTGTTCGCGAACTGTCTTCCGGGGCCACGCAAGGCCCGCGCTGTCTGAGAGGCAGCCCCCTCGCAGGAAGCCTTCGCCCCTCCCCCGGCCCCCCTCTGCGCGTGGCCGACCTCTGCGCACGGCGGGGTCGGCGGCCCCCCGGGCGCGGCGGGCGGGCTCGAAGGGCAGCGCCGAGGGAGGCCGCCACCCCGCGGGCCTCCGACGGCGTGGGCCTCCCAGTGCGGGCAGTGCCCCCTCGACTTCGGACGGACTCTGGGGGCCGCCGCTGGGCCCCAGGGCCATCACAAGACGGGTCCGGGGCGAGAGCGCGTCCCCGGGGAAGGGGTCGGGACCTCTGGGGCCGCGCACGGAAGAAACCACGCCGTCGGGCGTGTGGGATGGAGGGTGGTCGGCGCCTCCTCCGGGAGACGGCCGCCACCTCCTCATGGACCCCCTTCCCCCCCCCCAGGAGCCCCGGAGGCGCCACAACACGCCCGAGAGCCTCCTCGCCATCCCTCCTCGATCCCCGCGAGGTACTCTTGTGTCAGCTGCCAGGGCGGGCCCCAGCGCGTTCGAATAGCCGGAGGGCCGCGCCGGAACCAGGGGCACATAACTCCAATCCGGGGAAGAGGAGGGCGGCGGCCGCGGAGGAGGAACGCGGGAGGAGTCGGGAGAGGCAGAAGTAACACTACCACCAGCTATGGGAGTGGCCGTTCCCGAGCTGGTGGCACCGTTTTCCGGGAACTCTCTGGAGGCATGCCCGAGGTGCCACCAGCTCGAGGGGGTGGGACAGCCACCCCCTTAGCTGGTGGTGGTGGTACACATTGCTTATTCCTGAGTATTCGAAAGTTATTCGATTTTGTTGGGGGGCCAAGGTCCTTCCATTTCAAAGTGTTCTATCCTGGGCCTCTTCCTGGCCACCAGGGGGCCAGGGACAAGTAGAAACGAACACCACTAGAAAGGAGCAGGATTGGACATGGACGACGTGTGCTTTGTCTTCGGTGAAGGAGGCCTCAGGCGCAGAGAATCTTCGCCACGAGGAGTGCGCAGACGGCCTCAGGCACAAGAGCCTGGTGCACCAAAGTGAACCAATAGAGGGCAGGACATCCACCCCGATGGTAGCCACCCCGACACGCAAGGCCTCCAGTAAGCGCGCCCAAAGAAAAAGAATCGAACGGGGCAGGGCTGTTCAGGACACGCCCAGGGCCGTTTGGTAAATGCCAGTTGTCTGGTCTGGGCGGCTTTTTCCTCCCTTGAATCAAAGCCGCCGTGGGGGGGGGCGCACGCTGACATGCATCAGGGATCCGTGGCCCTGGCGCGTCGGCGCCAGCCAGGATCGACCCATGGATCGGGAGAGGCCCCCCCCCCCCCCCGAAACACGAGGCCAGCGCCTCATGGTCTGGCGACGGAGCGCGCCGAGTCCGCATGGGAACCGGAACCGTCGCTCACCCACGCGCCCTGACCCTATGATGCTTCAGCCGGCTTTTACCTTGATCGCCAGAGAGAACATCGAGCACCAGAGTTGCACCGAAACTGGAGGGTTTTTTCACGTGTCGGGCCCTGCGAGGCGACACTCGATGGACACCTCGCCAGCGTGTCGGGCAGACACTCTTGCGATACGCTTCTGGGTGCTCGAAAGGAATTCTGGCATGCAGCCCTTGAGCACGATGGGAAGAACATCACCTGGTCCATGCTCGCGATTCGGCGACCCCAACATCCAGGAGGCGGCGGTGGCACCCCCCCAGCCGGGGACCCCCCTCGGCGCTGCCCCGAGGTCCTCACTCCATGGCCGCTGGGGTCGGCGCAGAGGGGCCAAGCCCCGTGGGCGGGGGCGCCCTCGCCGCCGGGGCGGCTCCGAGAGCCGAGGCGGCCGCGGGGTTCTGAGCGCAGGTCGGGGCGGCGTGCTGGCGTTGTGCTGCATCCTCGGGGGGCCTGGCCTGTCCCGTCGCAGCGTCGAGTCCGCGCCGAGGCCATGTCGGACTCGCCGGAGCCGCGCCGAGTCCGCGTCGAAGCCGCGCCGAAGCCGCGCCAAATCCGCGTCGAGGCCGCACCGAGCCCGCGACTGGCCCAGGGGAAGACACCGATTCTGGGGGGACGGGCGAAGTCCCCCGAAGATGCCAAAAGAACTGGCGTGCGGCACCGGCAGGGCGCGGCCAGAGCCATATTCTCCCAGCTCGGCTCCCCGCGGGGCTCGAGAGGCGAGGATCCCCGACGCGAATGTTTGTGTGTGTGTGTGTTTTGGTGCTGAGGTGCCTCGGCAGCCTGGGGCGTCGACACCTCTCCAGGCCCATGCACTGGGCCCTCGAGCGACCCTCAGCCGCCGTGTGTGTGCGTGTGTGTGTGTGTGTGTGTGTGTGTGTGCGTGTGTGTGTGTGTGCGTGTGTGTGCGTGTGTGGTCCATCTGGGCGGCTCTCCCAGATTTTGGCCTCGGGTTATGATGTTCCAGCCTATTTAGCCTTGATCCCCGGAGAGAACCTCGAGCACCAGGAAGGTATCGGCTCTGGACGGATTTCGCGTGTCGGGCCCTAGGGGACGAGACTCGTTCGGCACCTCGCCAGCGTGTCGGGCAGACACTGTTTCGAACAAATACTTTTCGGGGTGCTCGACTTAAGTCGGGCATGTCCCCCTGCACGGGGATTTTTGACGAAACATAGACAAAACAAAAATACTCCGAAATGGTCAAAGATATCCAAAAGATCGTCCCCAGACCATGTTTGGACTATTTCTGAACATCCCTCCTGTAGGAGGACAGGCCCGACTTCCTGCTCGAAGCATGATTTCTCGGGGATGGACAGACCTCCCTTTAGTAAAACGTGGTTTAGTGAAAACGACCTGAGGCCCAAACCTGGCGGGCGCAGGCCTGGAAAATAACGGCCACGGCGCCCTCTCGAGAACCGAAAACGGACAATTCACTAATCGACGTGTCACTGTTGGGGGTTCTGTCCACCCCCGAATTTCTGGGATGCGGCCCCCGAGAGCGATCGGAGCAGCAGAGAACCTCGGGGGGCCGCTCTCGGGCCCCCCCGGGCAACATCAGGCACGGGGCCGCAGCGAAAGCCGGCTCCGTGGAAGGAACTCCTCCTCCTCCTCCTCCTCCTCCTCCTCCTCCTCCTCCTCCTCCGGGGCCGGGCACGGAGCACGCGTGAGGAGTTCTTTGGTTTTGGGGGGGGCCAAGATCCTTCCATTTCAAATTGTTTTATCCTGGGCCTCTTCCTGGCCACAAGGGGGCCAGGAACAAGTAGAAATGCAGGTGGTTGGGCCCATTTTTCATTCGAGTGTGTAAAATGGAAAGAAAAGGAGACCGCGGATGACCATGAGTTTGACGCATGATCCTTGTGAGAACAAGCCGTGTCTATGGCATGTTGCTGCGCCCGAGTCATGCCGCTCCAGATCGAAAGTGGAACTCTCAGATGGAAAAGGAGACGGCACTGCAGGAGGGGAAGAGGCCCAATGCGAACAAGATTAAATAATCGGGCCGGTTCGGGCCATGCGGGCGAGTGGGGCCGGGATAACACGCATCACACCACTCAATGAAGATATTGCCTGGCGGCTGTGTAGCTGACACCGGCAGCCGTGAGGCAACGGAACACTCGCTGAGTACGCGCAGCCAAAGACATGGAAGCCTGAGCTCCGGCTGGATGTACTGAGGCCATCCTGATCTCCCGCGAAACCCTACGCCGTCTTCTGGCAGTCCTTGCCTGGGATGATCGCCTTGAAGCCGGGGAGCGAGTCGTACTTCTTCATCAGGCTCGCCAGCTTCCCCTTGAGTTTCGCCTTCGTCTCTGGTGACACATCCGAGTAGGTGTTGTTGCTCGGGAGGACGTCGGGGTTGAACTCGAGGGGCACGACCTCGTCCTGCAATTGCAGGGCGCTCGCGGCAGGCTTCCACGGCTGGAGCACGCGGCGGGCCTCGGTGGAGTTCACCTCCAGGAACTCTGCCAGCTCCGTGATGTGGTCTGTCTTCTCGGTGGCGCGCAGGAAGGCGACAGGCAGATCGCACTGCTGGTAGTACGAATCGAAGTGCTTCTCGAATTGGAAGAAATCCTCCTGCATGTCGTCGACATACTGCTTGAGGTTCTTCGGGAATGGGTGCGGGAACGGGTCGCTGCGAGTCTTTCGGGCCTGGATCATGAACCATCCTCTCCTGTCCAAGGACATGATCGCGCGGGTGGGATCGCCATACAGGTACACAATCTTCTGGGGCCTCTCGCGCTTGAACCCGGCCATCCCGATGAGCTTACTGTACGGCACGTGCTTGATCTGATCGTTGTCGATGGGGTCGTTGGTGACAATCGGGGGGCTCATCTGCTTCATCTCCTCCATGATTCCCGTGGTGCCCACGCCGCCGATGGAGGTGACGTGCACCCTCAGCTGGCTGGTGCGGTGCGACACCGTCTCGGCCTGCGCCTTACGGCTCCAGGGCCAGCGGTCCTGGGACGCCGGGGCGGAGACCAGGCCGGAGGCGCCCGGAGGAGCGGTGAGGCACAGGGTGAGGCACGCCGCGGTGCGACGGAAAGCCATGGTGGGGGGGGGCCCTTTTGCACTGCGCACAGAAGTGGAGGCGTCACGTACTAAGATGTATCAAGGTCTCGGGGCCAAATGGCAGTGGAGGTGGGCAAGATGAAGAAGTTGGTACAGGAATCATGTGAGAATCAAGCTCTCGCTTGGGTGATGACTGGGACGAACCAATGCAACAGAACGGAGATGTGCTGCGAGAGCAGGGAAAGGCGCGCCTGATGCAACGGAACGCGAGATTCGATCATGCTTCCTGCCGCTCTTGGCTTGAACTTATGCGGCCCGTATGACCAGTGTGGTCTCAATGCGCCTTGATACCGCACCTGTGCAGTCTTTTCGTGGAGGAAGAAGAGTAGAGAAACATGATGGATGTAAACTGGTACCTGTTCACACCGTTCACACCGCTGCGGGCACCCTCAAATCCTTTTGTACGTTTGTGACGTATCGCAATTCAAGCTTGGACCATGGACCGTGGCCCGCGACTTCCAGCCGTGAGCTCCGATGCGTTCCTGAATGGGCACGCGCGCGCACGCATGCACGCACGCACGCACGCACGCACACACACACACACACGCGCACACACATACACACACACACACACACACACACACACACGCGGGCACACACAGACACACAGACACAAAGACACACAAATATACAGACACACAGACACACAGACACACAGACACACAGACACACGCACACGCGCACGCGCACGCACACGCACACGCATAAGCACACGCATACGCACGTGCACGCGCACGCGCAGGCGCACACGCGCACGCGCACCGGCGCACGGGCGTACGGGAGCACAGGCGCACGGGCGCATGCACGCACGCATGCACGCACGCACGCACACACACACACACGTTCTTACCTTACTGTAGCCATGAGCCGTGAACTCACATACGGCTTCGACGGTATGCTGTGCTGCTCGGCGCTGCTGCTTACATGCTTACAAATGCCGCCTCGCGCCAACGACAACGGGGGAACACCATGGCCTACAGCTGGAAAGTCGTGCGTTCAAAACTGCAGGGGCCGGCCCGCCCAACCACCGAGCGAGGCACAAGACCCCAGAGGCCACTGGATGTCTCAAGAGGCCCCTGGAGCCTATGGAGGCCTCTGGGAAGTGAACGACGGGCCGACACGTAGGCCCCCGAAGAACTCTCCCCGAGGCCTCTGGAACGTCATCTGTGCACCGAGAGCGACCCAAAAATCTAGATCCTCGAACCGCGTGGCCGTCGTTGTCGTCGTCGTCATCGCCGCCGCCGCCGCCGTCGTCGTTGTCGTTGTCGAGTGGGCCCACCAGGAGACTGCCCGTCGGGTTGGACGACGCAGGGGGACAGCAAAGGGGGGCATCGGTGAACCAGCTCACGCAGCTGATCCTCCCGGCGCCTCCCGGCGCCAGAGCGCGCCCATGCGCACCGAGACGAACGCCCGGCGGCGGGAGCAAAACCAGCTGCACGCCGCCAACCCCCCCTCCCGTCCGCAACCAGCTGGACAAAGAAACGGCAGGGACAGGAACTTTCGGAGATCCGCGCGCGTCTCTTGGATCGGCGCGGGAGGCGACCCCAACGCCGATCCAAGAGATCCGTCCAGAGCTCCCCGGCAGTGTCTGTTCATGCCTGCTTCTCTCGCCTCGAGAGTGCCGAGAACTGGCGGCGAGCGAGGGGAGAAGTGAGAAGGAGAAGGCCTTCCCAAAAGGCTCGGAAGCCCCCCGGCCTCCAGAGAAGTGGACCTCTCAGAGGGCGCGAGGGCTTCTGCGAAGCCCCGCCGCCTCCTGAGCAGGCCTTCTCCTTCTGGAGGAGGAGGAGGAGGAGGAGGAGAAGGAGGAGGAAGAGGAGAAGGAGGAGGAGGAGAATGATGATGATGAGGAGGAGGAGGAGGAGGAGAGAGAAGGAGGAGGAGGAGCTCGCCGCCGCGAGAGGGGGGCCCCCTCCTGGAGGCCCTGCCGCGGGCGTGCCCGCATCATCATCATCATCATCATCATCATCATCATCATCATCATCATCATCATCATCATCATCATCATCATCATCATCATCATCATCATCATCATCATCATCATCATCATCATCATCATCATCATCATCATCATCATCATCATCATCATCATCATCATCATGATCAACATCATCATCATCAGCATCATCAGCATCAGCATCAGCATCAGCATCAGCATCATCATCATCATCATCATCATCATCATCATCATCATCATCATCGTCATCGTCACCATCATCAACCCGTATCAGAAGGACGCACGGGAAGGATGCAAGTTGGCGGTGCGCAGAAAGGGGGTAGGGGGAGGGGGGAAGGCTTCTTAGAAGGAGGCTGCTTTCTAGAAGCCGCGGGCCTTACATCAGAGTGAGGGGGCCGTACGGTCATTCATTGTCCCTGGGTGCGTGGCTGAAGTGGGGATCTTTGGTGAGGATTTTCCTTGTTGCGTTGTTTGTTTGCGGTCGTCGTCCCCCCTGCGACCCACCCGCGACCCACCCCGCGACCCACCCCGCGACCCAACCCGCGACCCACCCCGCGACCCACCCCGCGACCCACCACGACCCATCCACGACCCAACCCGCGACCCACCCGCGACCCACCCCGCGACCCGCCCGCAAACCACCCGCGACCCACCCGCGACCCACCCACGACCCACCCCGCGACCCATCCGCGACCCACCCGCGACCCACCCGCGACCCACCCGCGACCCACTTGCGACCCACCCGCGACCCACCCCGCGACCCACCCCCGACCCATCCGCGACCCACCCCCGACCAAGAAAAAATCGGCGCCTGCGGCGGGCTCGCTGTATAATTTGTGGAATTTTGGCGCCTGCGGCGGGCTTCTCCAGAGTCTCGCAGACTGCCGACGTCCCCACCGCCCCCTCACTCTTCTCCGCATCTGCAGGGTGCTACGTTTACAGACAAGGCCCGCGCCTTCTAAGAGCAGGGGTGCTTCTAAGAAGCCTTCTCCCCTCCCCCTACCCCCCTCTGCGCGCCGCCAAGCAAGCGCTTTGGAGGACCATTGCGAAGCTTTTCGAGCGGGGCGCGGCCAGCGAAAGTGGCTAAGGATGGACCGAGGAGGCAAGAATGCAAGGTTACCCTTAGGAAAATCGCCCATCCTTGCCATGCGGGTTGACCGTAAGACTCGGGCTGGCCTGACGGGGCCGTCAGGAACAGTTGCGTGCTGAACTTTGGCGCGAGCTCCCGCGGCAAGCACCCCACGAGAACTGGACCGCCAAAATCCAGCACGGGCCCGTCAGCAAGCGTCGGCAGACACGCGCTCCGGCGAGCTCGAGTCCTACGTTTCCCCGGAAACGCAAAGGGGGGGAGACGGAAGGGGCTGGCCCAGAGGGGGGGCTCGAGAAGCATCGACCCTTAGTCGCCCCATTCGCCGCCGATTGGGGCCGGGGGGCCCCCCCTCTGAGCAGGAACGCGCGGTGTTGCAAACGGGGGCCTACCGCCGACCCATCGGCGACGCGTCGCCGACTCCAAATCGATGCTCCCCCCACCCCCGAGCCAGCCCCCCCCAACCCTCTGTCGCTCCTCCTCGCCGTCGCTGGTGAAGTGGAGGCCGTCGAAAGGCTTGGACCAGAGCAGACGTGCACGATTCCGGGGAGCCCTCAGTGATCGACCAAAACAGGACCCCTAACCCTTTGAGAGGAAACCTGAGTTAGGAAGGCCAAGAACATGAGGACTAGAAGGGACCTTGTCTGCAGATGTATCGAAGCAAACCGTCAAGATCGATCGTCCCTAATGCGAAGACGGGGGCCTCAGTGAGGCCACGCCTTCACTGTGTTTTTGGGGTTAGGGGGTCTCTCTTCATTCTCGATGACCTGGCTCCAAAGCTGATAGCGCCTCGCCTCTTCTCCCCCCCGAACCTGCGCACTCGGCTCCCGCCCCACCGGGCCCGCCGCCGCCCTCTGTGGGAAGGAGGAGGAGAGGGAGGAGGAGGAGGAGGAGGAGGAGGGAGGAGGAGGAGGAGGAGGAGGAGGAAAAGGAGGATGGCGGACGGAGGATGGAAGAGGAGGAGGAGGAGAAGGAGGAGGAGGAGGAGGAGGAGGAGGAGGAGGAGGAGGAGGAGGGAGGGAGGGAGGGAGGGAGGGAGGAGGAGGAGGAGAAGGAGGAGGAGGAGGAGGAGGGGAGGAGGAGGAGGAGGAGAGGAGGAGGAGGAGGAGGAGGAGGAGGAGGAGGAGGAGGAGGGAGGAGAAGGAGGGAGGAGGAGGGACGGGAGGAGGACCTACGCCGGCCTGCCGCCGCCGCTCCCGCCCGGGGGGGGAGGACGTCCGCCGACGGCGAGGCCCTCAGGCGGGGGAGCGCGCCACGGCGGCGGTCTCGGAGCAGAGGGCGGAAAGTCCACCCCCATAACAATGGAGGCCAGTCCACCGGAAACCTGCCACGAGAAGCCCAACCCTGAGACCCCATGAAGTCCCTTGTGCCATCGCAAATCCATCGAAACCCAAGAAATAGGAACCCAAGAAACCTAGGGCACCCTGGAGGCGAGCAGGGTGTTTCTTGACATGGGCCCCCACTGTAGCCATTGCCCCGGGCAGAGGTCGATGATGTCTTTGCCAGAATGACCTGTTTAAGTAGGCGGCGCTCGGGAAGAAGCTTGCAGAAGCCCCCTCCAGGCCTTGACAAACGCACCCAGGGAAGGAGAATCGAACAGGGCAGGGCCGTTCAGGAAACACCCAGGGGCCGTTTCGTAAGCGCCAAGTGTCGGGGTCTGGGTGGTGTTTCCTCCCTTGGACGGAGGGGGGTCGCAGAGCGTCGCTGATGCATCGGCGGTACGCCAGCGATGCGTCGGGACGGAGGTCGCCGTGCTCCAGTTGAGCAGGGACCGACCGTCCCAGCATTCCTATAGGCATACCACGACATGTTCTGAAAACCCACAAATTCGGTGTGGGCATTTTTTTTTATCTCTGTAGGCCCTGCGCGCGCGCAGGGGGTTCATGCATGCATTCAGGAAGGGGGGGCGGCAGGCCGAGGCTACCCGCGCGCCCACACGGCCGCCAGCTGCGCCTCCAGGTCCATTAGGAGGGCTGACGTCGCGCCTCGGAGCTCGTCCGATGCCGACCGCCATTGGCCCGAGGCCTTCTCGGGCGCGGTCGGGCTCGGCTCCGAGTGGCGCTCCCGCAGGTCACCCGCCGAGAGGTCCGCGCAGGCGTCCTGCTCAGCCACGGCCTCTGCAGCAACCACACTGCTGTTCGTGCCCTCGGACGCCTGCGGCAGCACCTCGCCACCAGCAGCCTCGGACAGCCCGATGGGCTCCTAGGTGCCTGCAGTGCCGCCGCTCAGGGCGGCCTCCTGGGCGAACCCGCCGCGGGCCCGCGCGCCGCTGCCGTGCACCAGCGCCGTGCCCCCAGCAGCGGCATACAGCGCGTCGAGCTCCGCGATGCCAGCAGAGGGTCTGGAAGCCGGTGGGATCCAATCGTGGATCGGCCATGGATATCACCGCCGCCCTCATTGGATAAGGAATCCTCCAAGGTCTGGCGCCTCCTAGGACTAGTCCTTAACAGACGCCTCCACCGCACTCTAGACCAAAACAATTATCTTAGACCAGAATCCCCATGCGTCAGAACAAGACCGTCTCAGCCAGTCAGGTTCGAAGAACACTTCGTGCAGACCGCAAGAGGCTCTCAGCACATCCCCTGGTGGGCCTGTAGGCATGCCAGGGCGCCTCGCCACTGCTCGCTCCAGGCCGCGCGGCTCCCCGACCCTCGCAGCCGGGCGAGCCGAGACAGCGGCCGCCCGACGTCGGGGCCCGGACCCCCCACCCTGGAGCCCGGACGCCCCAGCTGTCCGAGCGGCCCCCGGCCGTGGCGGCAAGGGGGGCCCGGGGGCCCCCGATGGCCAACCACCGGCGTCTCGGCTTGTCCTCTGCTGACTCGGCGGCGAGCGAGGGGGGGGGGGGCAGCGAGAAGGCGAAAGCCTTCTGGTTCGGCACGTGCAGCCGCGCCTGCGGCCGTCGCCCCAAGGCCAAGCACGCGTGAGAGTAGCGGCAGGGCCCGTGCACGACGGGACCGGGCCGGCCTGCACTTCGGCGAGCTGGGTTCGGGCCAGCAGGCCCGCCCAGCTGGCGTGCGACACCGACGGCTGCGCTGCAGTCACAGAGTCGAAAAATAACAAGACGCCCTCGCGCCAGGAACCCAACAGAAGGAGAAGGCCCTCGCAGAGAAGGCTCGGAAGTCCCCCCGGGCCTCCCGAGAAGTGTCCTCAGCCTTCCCAGAGGGCGCGGAAGGCTTCTCGGGAGGCGCGAGGGCTTCTGGGAAGCCCCGACGCCTTCTGAGGAGGCCTTCTCCTTCTGGAGGAGGAGGAGGAGGAGGAGGAGGAGGAGGAGGAGGAGGAGCAGGAGGAGGAGGAGGAGGAGGAGGAGGAGGAGGAGAAGGAGGAGGAGGAGGAGGAGGAGAGAGGAGGACGCCTTCTCCTTCTCACTCCCCCCCCCGACTGACGCCCCCCTCGGCGAGGCGCTGGCCGAGGCGGCGTGGAGCGCGACGTGCCCGAGGGCGCGCGCGATCCTCCGACGCCACCCGCAGGAGGGGCCCCAAATCTCTCGGGAACCGCCGTAAGTTGAGGGATAAAAAAACGACCCTACCCTGGGTTACAAGCGCGTGGTCTGTAAACCTCCTGGGAACCCCCAGCCGCAATGATTCTCATGTCGCGGGAAGGAGGGTGTGAGTCATCGGGGCTAGCTGACTCGCTCGACCTGGCTGGCTTGACCTCGCCCCCTGCCTCCTCACCTGGGCCTGGACGGGGGGGGGCGAAATGGCAGGGAGCCCTTTCGGGTCCAAGATGGCTCCAAGGGCGCCTCAGATGCTGCAAGATGGCCTCCGTTGTGGCTCACGGCACCTCAAGACGGCTCAAGATAGCTTCCGATACCAAGAGGATTCAAGATCGCTCGAAGATTGTCCCAAGTGCTCTCCAAGCCTTCCGACGCACCCTTTAAGAGGCCAAACTACGTCAAACAACTCAGGACACTCACTGTTGGTTGCCTTCTCGCCTTTCGGCTTCCGATAAGCTTCTGATGCCCCGTGATGACGATGGACCCAAGACGGCCTCAAGAGAGCCGAATAGCGCTCCAAGAGGCTCCAAGAGGCACTTGCTCGGGGATTCCAGGGGGAGGGGCGGGGCTGAATTCCCCCCCCCCCTCTTTTTGAACAATGGGGCCCAAGATTAACTCACAAGGCCTACCAGACGCCCCCAAAGAGCCCCGACAAAGCTCCAAGAAGACCCCAATATATTCAAAAATGCTTCCAACATGGATCCAGAATAGATCCGTGAGGCCTCCAATAAGCTTTCAAGAGGCTCGCGGATCGAAAACTCCGCGAAGGCTGTATGATTGACTCGTCGTTATCGTCGTCGCCTCCAGCATCGTCTCCTTCTTTTTCCGCCATCCTTCTACTGGCTATTCCTCTTCTTCTCTCTCTCTCTCTCTTTCTCTCCCTCTCTATTCCTCCTCTTCCCCTTCCTCCCGTGTTCATGTCCTCCATCCTCCTCCGATGGTCAAAGATAGCGACCTCCCCGCCCCGAGAGGGCCCTAAGGAACCTCCGAAGGGCCCCCATAAGAACCCAATGAGGCCACCGTGGCATGGGAGCATGTGTTAAATCGTTCGACACATGGCTGGGGGGGGGGGATACACGAAGCCTCAAGCAATGTCTTTATTCTTGTTGTCGGCCCCACCCCGCGACCGATCCGCTGACCACCCGGGATTTGCAAAGCGATCTGCCCACGACCCACCCACGACCCGCCACGTGATCGCGCTGTTTTGAAGATGTCGGCGCCTGTGACGGGCTATATCGCATTGGTTTAGGAGGACACCAATGTGCGCCCCATCCCTGGTGCTCTGTCACTCTTATCCGCACATGCGGGGACGAAGTATGACCATGTCGCAATTCCTTTCGTACCAAGCCCCTTCCAGCCTACACGCTTAGAGCTGCACTTGAACGCGATGGGGGCATCAAGAGTGTCTCGGTTTCCTTGCGACCCCATCGTGGGCATGATCCTGGCTATAGCTGCGAGCCAAACACAACCATAGCGACGTGCGGGATACCGGCGAAGCTAGATCGGAAACCAAACGCGGCTGCGACCCCCCAAGCTGCCCTCCAAGACAACTGTAGTTGGCTCTGGCTGCGGACTGGCACCGGCCGTGGACATTCCCGAAACTCGATCCTCCCAGCAGCGAAAAAGGAGTATAACGCGGGACCGATACAGAGGATACAGTAGACATGCGAAACAAAGAATTGGCCTGCCAACCCGTGCACCACGATAATGCAACATCCCCCGATAGGCCCAATGACCCCTGGGGCTCCATACAAAGCTCGAAATCGATGACAGATGTGGAATGTTACCGTTCATCCGGATTTCTTCTCTTGCAATCTCTGGGACGTCCATTCCCCGCGCATAATTTGGCTTCTCGCGTCTGTTTTTCCACCAAGATGATCCAAGATGCGATGCCCCCCGCCGAGAACAAGTGCACAAGCCCGAACGATGTCCAATTCTTATCGCGTGTGCCTCCGGTACCGTGCATGCGCCCACGGGGCACGTCTGGGTCCACCTAACTCTCGGCACCGCGAACAGACGCCTCGCGAATTAAGGAGCCAGCGCTCCACCGTGCAGAGAGGGCAGAGCGGGGTCGCGGCACTCGATGAATTACGGGGCGAAAAAATCAGACACCACCACCACCTCCCTCGCCCCCTCCCTCTCCCACGAAAGAGGAAAGGAAGAGGAGGGATAACGAGTGGTGGTGGTGGTGGTGGTGGTGGGTGGGTGGGTGGGTGGGTGGGTGGGTGGGTGGGTGGGTGGGTGGGTGGGTGGGTGGGTGGGTGGGTGGGTGGGTGGGTGGTGGTGGTGGTGGTGGTGGTGGTGGGTGGTGGTGGTGGTGGTGGTGGTGGTGGTGGTGGTGGTGCTGGTGCTGGTGCCTATCCTTGGGACCTGCAGTGAAGGAATGGGCAGGCGCGCGGCGGCTTCTCTCGCGCCGAAGGGTGGAGCTGGCACCGAGCCCCGCCCGGGGCGCTGCCGCCCCGCTCTGGTCCGCAACGCCCTGGACCGCCAGGTCGGAGACAGGCCCTGGCAGTAGCCTTAGGTCGGGCGTGTCCCCCTGCAGGCGGATTTTGGACGAAAGATATAAAATACCCAAAAAACTCAAAAACGTGCTCAAAAATAATAAAAATAGTCCCCCGATTCTTGCTTGACTATTTTTGACTATTCCCACTGTAGAGCGACAGGCCCGATTTCACAGTAACCATGCTCCAATTTCTTGCCCTCTGGTGTGCCAGCTCCAACATGCCGCCTTCCGCCGAGTTTCCGCCAGCCTGCGCCGGTGGAGCCGCCCTCGCGCCCTCCGCCAGGGAGGAGGTGCCCAACGTCTCCGCTCATCGATGGCGGGGCCCTTTTCTGGCACGCCCCACACAGCTCTCACGCTGGCCTTCACCCTGCCCGCCATCAGCTCGCACACATTCTTGGCAGTCAAGACTGATCGGGGGGTCGCCCGATCATTTCTCATGCCAAGTTCGGGCAGTGCCAGCGAAGCGGTCATGCCGATCATGGCCTGATGATGTCATCCACTGCTCAAGCCAACCGAGTGGTGGGCCAAGCTGACAGAGCGTTGAACTGTCGCACGGTTGACCACTGCTGGGAAAACAAAAATGCACCGATACCGCTACTCACCAGACCTCTCCAGGAGTGCGTTCTGACAAGAATTCCGAGGCGAATTCGGCGGTGGCGACGGGGACCTCCCAGGAGGCCCAAAAAGACAGAACGAGGGAAGGGTAGCAGTATGAGTACCATTTCCTCCTCTGTCAGCTGCTCATGCCAACCGCGTGGTGAGCCCAAGCTGACAGCGCCACGGACAGTCGCACGGTTGACCACTGCGCTCGCGACGAACCTTCGGGCGGTCATGCCGAAGTGCCTGCCGCGACCCCGCTCGCGCGTACATCTGCCAGGGCAAAAAAAACAATTAATTCGCTGCGCCTCGCGCGGGCATGCCGCACTGGGACACCGTCAGCCTGAAGCAGGGCAGGGCGCCAGACCAGTCCAGGCACAGTTCCGACCAGCCCTTCGAGCCGCGTGTGGACGGGGCGGCAAGCCCCCCCCCCCCCCACAAGGGCCCCCCAAGAAGCTTCGCCCGCTCTTCTGGGGGGGGCCGCACCGGATCGTCGGCACGTCGGAATCGACTCGGACCGATATCGAACCGCATCGATCGGATCGACATGGATCCGAGAATCGGCAGAAGCTCGGCGGCCTGCCCCGCCTTCGAGGAGCAGCAAAAGGACATGAGCATACACCTCCGGAGGTCCGCGCGGATTTCTCGCGTCGGCGATGGGCCCCCCCTGGCGGCCCCTCCGGCGCCGCCCCTGGCACGCTCCGCGCGCCAGGGAGGGGGTCCAGCGCCGATCCAAGGAGTCCGCGCGGACCTTCGGAAGCCTATGTCTGTGTCGCTGTTTCCTCCGACACCTGCGGCTCCCCGGAGACCGACGGCCGCGACACAGCCCGAGGCGCCGCCGTTGGGCGGCGGAGGGGGCGGCTCAGCAGCAGTGCTTCGCCTTGTGCCTGCTGCTCACGACGGTGTGCTTGCGGCTGGTCTTCGGGCCCTGCCAGCGGCCGCGGTCCGACGGCCCTCGAGCGCGCGAGCGAGGCTCGTGCGCGTCCGAGAGACGAGGCAAGACGTGTTCCTCTGCACTCCTGGCGTCGTGGCATGGAACGGCGGGCGGCCTTCCCGAGTGTTGGCCCCCAGGAGACCGCTTCGGCGCTTCGGGCCCTCATGAGCCAACTTGGCATCGCAAGCACAACGCAATTGGATAGGACGCCCTCGAGCCGAGGAGAGAATCTGTTTTCGTGATGCTGAGCTGCAGAATCGGGGCGCAGACAGAATTGGGACCCCGGGAGCGACTGGGGCGAGGGGGGGTACGAAGTAGAGGCGGCGGAGCGTCTTGCAGGAATAAGATGGGAAACGACGCAAAAAGGACAGAGGCGAACGACGGCGATGGGCGGATGGGAAGGGACGCGCGACGCCGGCAGGGATACGCATCCAGGAACCCGACCTCGTCAAAACCATCGCGCCTTTTCCACAGCTGGTCACCTGCATCCCAAGGACCATCGACAGCCGCCCGTGGCCAACTTGACTATAACATGCCCTGCTGCGTTCGGACCTCGGTGCGAGTCCCTCCCAAGTCTGCCACCGGACCCCTCCTGGACTCCCTATAAGGCCCCTTGGGAGGCACGTGGGGAAGAAGGACGAACGGCATGAGCAGAAACTTTCGGAGGTCCGCGCGGATTCTTTGCATCGGCGCTGGGGCCCCCCTGGCGGCCTTTCCGACGCCGCCCCTGGCACGCTCCGCGCTCCAGGGAGGGGGGGGTCCAGCGCCGATCCAAGAAGTCCGCGGGGACCTTCGAAAACTTATGTTTGTGTCACTGCCTTTTCCTCAGCCCCTGCCCCCTCCGTGAGACCCACGGCCGCGACATAGGCCAAGACCGCGACACTGCCCCTTTGCCGCCCCCTCCGCTGTATCCCAAGGCCGTCTAAACCAGGACTTTGACAAACCGGGACTTTGGCAAGTCAGATAAACGATCCGCTAGAGCCCTGGCCAGTCGAAATAAAAATGCTGATGACTTTGGCAACTCGACGCCCCGATGTTCTAAGGTCCTTGATATAGCAATCCTGGACTCGAGGGCCCTTAAGTATCACAAAGCTGGGCCAGACTGGCAAATGGTCTCTCACGCGTCCGAGCTTCTCGGCCCATGGTGGCCCGTCGAGAAGATCCCGCGAGGCCACCGGCGGACTCGGAGGGAGCCAAGAGGCACGCCGAGACGACCCCCACACAGCTCCAGGACGGTCAACAGGGCCCACCTGGGCGGCGCCCCACAAGTTCTGCCACACCCGCTCGATAGAACTCTTACCAGCCTGGAACGTATCCCTATCCCTATGCTGGGCACCTCCTCATCACGATGCCAATCTGAGGGATTCCCTGATTTTTTGAGGGCGCATCCCTGAGAGTGTCATCGCCTCTTGGCGTCTCAATCTTAGGGATAGGGATACGTCCGAGGCTGGTAGAACTCGGCAGAGCCACCGCGACTTAGCGCCGCGGCAAGAAGAGAGGCCCCGGGTGCCCGCCCGGACTGCGCCTCGCCCGCAGCCCAGGGGCCCGCGGCGGAGAGGCCGCAGCGAGCCGTGGCCTGCATTGTGCCGGGCCTGCTCGGCAGGGCTCGGCACAAGCGGCGCTCGTGCCGTGCTGTGCTGCGCCTGCTCCGTGGCGCAGGGGGCAGCAAGCAACGGACTCACTTTGAGTCGGGCGGGTCCACCTGCAGGGGAGGATTTTGGACGAAACAAACAAATATATTCAAAAAACAACAACAAAATACTCCAAAATTGGAAAAATCGTCCCCCGACTACGTTTTAGACTATTTTTGAATGTTCCTCCTGTGAGGGACGCGCCCGACTCAAGACTGACTTCTGAGCCGCAGCCACGGCCGCCCACGGCGACAGCACAGCCGCAGGGCGGCCGAGAACCGACGGGCGAGAAACCGAGACCGACCAGGACCAACCGGCCCCGCACCTCGGAAGACCACGTAGGCCGAGGTGCTCTGGCGCACCTCGGCCTGCTCGCGGTGGGCCGCGGCCGATTCGAAGCGCCTGCAGGGGGCCCCCCCCGCGGACTTCGGCACGCCGGGGGGCGGGGGTCTCACGTGGGGGGGACTTTGGAGGGGCTGTGTGTGGCTCGGGTCGGGCGAAAGGGGGGGATAGCAAAGGGGGGGGTTGAGAATCAGCTCACGTAGCTGATTTTCCCGGCGCCTCCCGGCGCCGGAGGCGGCTAAGTATCGAGGAATGGGCCCCATCGGTGAGGCCGAAATCAGCTGCATGCAGCCCCCCCTTTCGCCCCGCCCGAGTGGCCCAGCCCCACTTTTCCGTGACGTTCGAAATGGCACCGCTCCCAACACGGTCGAGCCTTTCAGCCGGAGGAGGTGGGTGTGGCGCAGATGGACCCACCCGCGGGAAGAAGCGCGGGCGATCGCACCTGCAATAGCTGGTGCCTGGATGCAGTGGCTCGCTCGCTGGATGCAACGAGTAGCTGCATGGAGGCTGGTTCACAAAAAAACCTTCCACGAGAAACCCAACCCTGAATGCCAAGGACGTCCATTGGTTTTTGGTGTGGAAACGTCGCGCTCTCCATCGGAAAACCATCGAAACGCCAGAAACCCATGGTAAGGGTGTTTCGTTTCGTGGCATGGGTCCCCACTGTAGTGCCCGCTCCAACGTTCGAGCACTCCACAACCGTTGCGTACTGGCGCAGGCAACAACACTCACACTACACACACAAACACACATATTGGCGGTGCGCACAAGGGGGGGGGGGGGGGGGAGGCTTCTTAGAAGGAGGCTGCTTCTTAGAAGGCGCCGGCCTTACATCTATAGATAAGGCCCGCGCCTTCTAAGAAACAGGGGTGTTTCTAAGAAGCCCTCCCCCCTCCCCCCTCCCCCCTCCCCCCTCTCTGCGCGCGGCTGAACATAACTGACCAACCACATCACCTCTCGCCGCAGACCCGGCTGCGCTCGGCCCGCGACTCCAGCTTAGATCGAAGTAAAAAAAACACCCACTTAAGAACCACCCCGCCAAGCGAAGCCGTTTAGTAAACGCACCCAAAGAAGGAATCAAGCAGGGAAGGGCTGTCTGGTAAACGCTCAGGGCCGTTTAGCAAACGCCAATTATCGGGTCTGGGTGTTTTTTCTCTTGGTTAACGAGCCGGCGCCCTGGAATGCAAAAGGCAGGCGCAGGCCACCGGCAACTTTGAACGCCCGAGATGGGTACGGAAAAAAAGCGGGCACGACGCCCAACATCAGAGACTGTCCACAAGAAGCAGCGGCCGCAGTTGGGCGGGCGGCCGCGGCGACGCCCAAAACCCGCGGCGACGCCGACAGCGAATCCTGCTCAAAGTGGACGGGGACTGCTGCCGGTCTTCGTACCATGCGGCCTCCTTGGAGGCGTGCGCCCGACCAGGCCACATAGTGCAGCAGCAGTATAGCAGATCTTTGCCCCAGCAGCGTTGCAAGGGGGCGCCCGCCACGGAGTTCACGCTCTACGATGTTCCTGAGCGAGCCGTCGCCCCTGCGGGGGCGAATCTTGAGAAGTGTGCGTGGGTGGCGCCGAACAGCCTCCAAAGGGGAGCGTCTGTGTGGGATGAGGAGGAGGAGGAGGGCCATCACAGGCTAATGAGGAAGGCTAAGGTTAGGCCGACCCGACCCTAACCGAAACCTTAAGGCTACATCCGCTCACCACTTACGCTCACATGTATCCTGCCTCGCCGCTCCCTCCTTGAGGAGCTGGGCAGCAGGAAAGGGCCGGGCAAGTCGGGGGCGGGCCTTCATACTGCTCTTGGGATGTCGGCCGCCTGACAGAGGAGACCACGCACCTTGGGAGAACTTGCTTCGGAAGCGCTCCTTACATTCACCTTTGAGCCCTTTGAGGTTGCTTTCCGTATATCGGCCGCACCTCCTGCACACTACAATGAAGGACTCACTATCAAGGTAATCACATATCATAAGTTGGTGCTTCTGGGGGTCTCTAATTAATTGTGAGTGAGTCGCCGAGTTGCCTGGGCACGGCTCCGCCGTGCGGGCTTTCTTGGTGGCGTCGGATCTAGCTCTAGTATGGCATAGCAGGCACAGCCAGTGACCGTTCAACCAGCCCCAAGTGTGCCTACTGGCATTGCCGCGTGCTCTCGCACGCCTGGGACCCGCAGCAGGGGGTGGGGGGGTAAGCCGCTCATGGACCGCACCCGCTGCCCCCACAGGGGGATTGAGGCACTTGGCTGGGGTGGCATAGGCTTTCTTCCCAGTCTTCGGCGCCAGCGGCGCCCAAAGTGAAAGGGCCTCACCAACAAATCGCACGAACCTCTGCACCCTGCTGCGAGTCTCTTTATAATAATCAACTCCAAAGTCGACGGGGCTGGAAACGAGGCAGCAGCTTGTTTGGCCACCTTGTCCGCCCAGCCGTTTCCTTTCGCTAGAAACCAGTCCCTCGAGCCAGCCTCCAGGGACTCAAGATCCTGGTGGGCCTTCACTTTCGCAATCTCGAGGGGCCCGAAACTGACCTGGGACCTGGCCAAAACAGAAACTCCAGAGTACATTTCTTTCCTACTAACCTCAGGGCTCTGGTGGACCGAGAGGATACCTTTGAAATCGGTCCACGCCTTCGTGACTCTGGGACACGAGGCGGCAGCTAGAAAACCTAAGTGTTCGGCAGCTGGCGACGTCGGGGGCAGGCTGGCCCCCGCGGGCCCCGAGAGGGAGGCAACTAGGTCGCCCTCCTCGTCGATTTTAACCACGGACCAGGCAGGGGCACCATAAACCGCGGGCCCAGGTTCTAAAACGCTGCCATCGTGAAACACGTCTCCATTCATGGCCACCTCCTTGGGTAGCCCATCACGAGACCAATACACCGCTTGGTCCAATCCTAAACCAGGGGGCCTCAGAGCAATCGGTTCTGGTCGAAGCTGAAATCCCAAGACATATGGAAATCCCCTCCTCCCGTCTCTGAGCTCTTCCACGTCCCCCTCCTTCAACATCTCCTTCCTCTGGTTCTCCGTTTGCGGGCACTCGAAGAGTCTGTGGGGGATGGGGCCCACAGGGCCCTGGCATAGGTCGCACGCGACTTCACCGTCATACCCTGCAGACGTCATTTTCTCTTTGGTCCAAATACACTGACAGCCGAACGAGAGCAGCGTCTTGCGCTTGTGGCCTTGGATGGACTGGTCCTGCAGCGCGCGCTGCATGACCGAGGCGTCGAGCGGCTCGTCTAGGCCGAGCTTCTTACTCGCACGAAGATCCAACTGCTGCTGCCATTGGCTCTGAAACACCTTCTTAATTAGAGCGGGAGAGGTCGTGATGAGGGGAAATTCCTGGCCGTCCGAGTTCTGGAAAACGAACGGGTCGGGCATTGACCATCCCAGACGCTCAAGACTGAGAAGCGTGGCCCCAAGGGGCCCTCGGATTTGGTACCACTTCTTGGGAGGCTTGTCGAGCACCTCGAGGGCTTGGGCTCGAAGACCAGGAAGCGAGAAACTTACGGTACCAGGATGATGAGCAACTCTCCAAATCAGATTTGCCCAATAAGCCGCCGGCCCCAGAGCCGCACTCCAAGTCGGGTCACCCGGGGCCGAGAGAGCCAGAGACCTGGACCTAGTAGCACAGCGGGGGCCCACAATCTTGAGGTACAGGGACTGGGCCTCGTGCGCCTCGGGGTTGGTTAAGCCAATAACCTCTGCTCCATAGTAGGCTGCCGCTTTCAACCCCGTCTGATAAACCTTGCGCATGTTCGCGCCTGCACGCCTAATCTGCGCCAAACGGTGGAGACGTCGTTTCATCTTGGTCGTTCGCTTCTTGAGGGTCACACGATTCTTCCTAAGACGGTTCCCCATGGTGAAATCAACTCCTAGGTTTGGCGCAGACTGAGCTTGGTGGACTCCATCGGGTCCACTGTATTTGCCTAGAGCCTTTGCCAAGCGCTGCTGCACCTCTGCGGACGAGCCCAACACCGCCGCCTTGTGCAGCGCGACCGAGCAATCGAGGTCCTCCTCGATTAAATCTAGCATGCTGTCGGCGGCCTGCGCCAAGTCCGACACCAGAAGTCTGATACTAGTGTTGCTGCTGCCCAACATGAAATCGTCTGTAAAGATGGAGGGGTCCACGGAGGGGAACTTCGGAACCCAGGAATCCATGGGGGGCACCGCGTACACTTGCACGTTGTAGGTGGCGAAAGAGCATCCAGCAGGAAAACCTTTTGTGGCACAACCAGCATCAATTGCCAAGGTCCTTGTGGCTACAACCCTCGGGCCCCCATATTGGTTCATCATAACACATGTTAGCGTCTCCGAAAACCCAGACGAAATGGCCCGAGACTTCCACTTCTTGCGGTTCACGTTCTCATAGTAGTTAGATAAATCCCAAAGAACACCACCAGTATGTACAGCCTGATAGCCAGCTAGTTCGGCCTTCAAGGCCTGAGCATAAACCGTTTCGAGCACCCCTCGACCAGACTGATGCGCCAGATAAGGCCTCTTGTTGGCCCCCTCCCAACGGCGAGCTTCGACTTGGCGGATTTTGGACCATGCTCTCCAAAGCGCGGGAAGCAAACCAATGCCACGGTACGAGGGGCCCTCAGACTCGTCGGCCTTGTGCTTCTCGATGAGGGCGATGATAATGCTACGAATCGCTGTCGGGAAAACTCAAATCTCTTCTATGGCAGCCAAAAGCTTACAAACATGCTCCAACTCCTGGTTACTCAGATAGGCAAAATGACGAGGGTGAAATCCATCCCATGTCTGGCTGGTTGATTTGGGAAACCTTTTGGCTGCCGACCGAATCTGACCAGGCGTGATCGGCTCCAGGCAGTCACGCATGGCGGAGGGCAATTTAAAATCCTGCTCCTGCTCCGTGGTCTGCCAGAGTCCTGCCAAGCGGGCGGGAAGCCTCCGACTGGAGCAGCTCGAAAGGCCGGCCTGAAAATGTCTGAAGCTCGGGGCGCCAGACTCTCTGAGGTTGCCAACTGGTGAGCTTAGAGGTCCACCTGTGTGCCCACCCCACCCCGCGAGACATGGCCTCCTGGACCCAGTTATGCCACGAGGTGGTTTCACTTTGGCGGCCCTTGGCCTCCTCAGCTTGCAGCGCTCGATCAACTGCTTCATCGAGCTCTTCGAAAACCTTCAAAACGAGCTTGGGGTCCATCACCCCGTTGTCCTGATCCTGAGCAGCGGCGCCTAGAGCTGTCCTAACACTGGCGAGCAGACGGGCAAACTCCTCGGCGCCTTCTAACTCTGGAGGTGGTGACTGGATGCTGACCAAAATCTCCGAAAGGTAAAACTCGTCCCTGGAACGAAACCTTCGGATGACATCCATAACTCTGTTTTTCAACCATCTTATCGGGATCGACAAGCTCCTCCAACTGGCCCTTGGTTCCACCTCCCGAGCGGCTCCTGGTGCCCAACGAATCTTGGGCAGGCCTACGCGCGGCATGGTGGGCGACTTGATCGGCGTATCCGTGCAGATGCTGATCGACCTAGCCATGTCGTTAGCGAAATACTGGTACGCGGAGTTCAGGGCCAACATGCGGGCCTCTATGTCACTCTCCTGGGCGATGACCTGGCCCAGGAAGTCCAGGGCAGCTGAGGTCTTATCCCAAGACGGCGCGAAGTTCGATGGCCCATCGGGCCTAGTAGTCGAGAAGGGCTGGGGCTTCTCCAGGACGGGCACCACGAAGGGCTGACCACACCTAAGCTGGAACAGGACGGGCCTGTGGGGGCTCAGCGGGTAATCGCCGAGGACGGTGGCTCCCGAGAGGCCCTGGTCGAAGCACGACGAGGCTAACACGAAGTCGATAGTGCTAGCAGACTTCTTCATCTTACACGTCGGAGTGTTAGGGGCCAAGATCTTGAGGCCCGCACGCAAAGGGTAGTTCGACTCGATGAGCTTATTGGTCGAAACGTTGAAATCCCCAGCAATGATGAGCGGCTGTCGGACAGCGTCTTGAATCATTGCAACCCCTGCTAGAAGTTCTAAGTTATACTTGTTGAGGCCCACCCCGTCGGCCAAGTAGATAGAGACGAGAACGAACGGACGATGTCCAGGAAGTTCAAGTGAAACTGCTGTGAAGCGCGACTCTGCTACCCCTGCAGGAAGCCGCACTCTGGATACTCCGAAGTCGTGCCCATCGCGAATCAAAATCCCTGTGCCTTGCACAGGGTACCCTTTATCACTAAGCACGGCTGGGGAGAGTACCGCATGCCACCCCTGGCGCTCACGCCACTGCACAATGAAGGGGAGCGCGTCTTTCAAAACTCGCACTTCTTGGCAGCATATAATGTCTACAGCCTGAGCTGCTGAAGACAGGATGAATTTCCTGATGGGTCTCCAGCAGCTCCCGTTGATCGTGGCAAATCTGACCGTGTTACCCACACGACTTGCCGTCTGGCCCCTTGCCGCCCTTGCCCTTGGCGGCGACGCACAGGGTCTTGGCAACCTTCTGGAGCTCGGCGACCTGGCCCTGCTGCTCCTCCGTCTGCGAGGCGTTCTGGCCTTGCAGGTTGAGCACCTGGCCGAGCGCCTCCCCCGCGCGCTTGATGCCCGCGAGGCGCTGGTGCTCCACCTCCTCCTTCATGGCCGACTGCTCCGCGTCGAGGGCCGCGTCGGCAGCCGCGCTGAGGCCCCCGCCTGCAGGGGCCGCCCCACCCGGGGTCGCGGGCGGCTGAGCAGGAGCCGCGGCGGCTGGGGTTGCGGGGGGCGCTGCGTCGGCGCCCCCCCCCCGGAGCGGCCTTCGCAGGCGCCCCGTTGCCCTGCGAGGCTGGGGCCTGGGACTGCTGCGACAGGATGTTCGCCTGGGCTTTGGTCCACTCCTCGTGCAGCTTGGCGGAGAGCTGCGCGACCGCCATGTGCACCTCGGGGGAGGGCGTGAGCCCTGGCGGGAACTGGCTGGCAATGTACGACTCCAGCGTGGGGGTCTCGGGCACGTGCTCCTTGAGCGCCTGCTGGACCGCCATCTGGTGCTGGGTCTCCAACTGCTGCACCTCTGCAGTCAGATCAGAGACGTGCTTGACCTGCTTCTCATACTCGTTGGCCAATGTCACCATGGCCTCCACGGGTTTATCACACTCTTGCTTGGCGTTGGCGAGCTTCTTCCTCGTCACCTCGAGCTGATCGTGCAGGGACTTCCGCTGCTGATCCCAAGGTTTCGCTGCCAACGACGACGCCTTGACTGCTTTCAACTCACTGACGGCCTGCAGGTAGTGAGGCCCCGAGATGCCTTCCATGTTCTTCCAGAACTGGACCGCCGCCGTACACACAGCAACTTGGTCGCGTTCGGATTCCTCAGGGACTCGCGCTCCCGCGGCTCGGGGATGGCTCTTCGGCGCTGGGCTGACTGTGCGCCTTCGCCACCTGTTCTGAATGCCTTTCGGTTCGTCCTGGGCTTGGGTCGGGGTTGTAGACCGTCGACCAAGGAAGGCTGATCCACACTGCCCGCAGAACTTGAACGGCTTGTCAGCCCATGTCCACCCCCTGCACCCTCCAGTCTGGCAGCAGATGTACTTGCGACTATCGCCACCACGGCCGCGGCTCTGTTGCCGTGTGCCGCCCATGACTGCGGGGGGCGGGGCAGCTCCATGATTGGCTGCTGTCCTGGAGCGGCGCTGCTGGTCAGCGCACAAAAATGCAAGGCTTGGGCCCCAGCTCCTCGGCCTTGACCGAGGAGGCAACCCTATGTCCTGGCACCTCCCGCGGTGTGATCAGGACTTGAGCCAAAATGGCTACGGAGGGGGGAGGAGGAGGAGGAGGAGGAGGAGGAGGAGAGGAGGAGGAGAGGAGGAGAGGAGGAGGGAGGAGGAGGAGGAGGAGAGGAGGAGGAGGAGGAGGAGGGAGGAGGAGGAGGAGGAGGCGGAGGAGGAGGAGGAGGGAGGGGGAGGAGGAGGAGGAGGAGGAGGAGGCGGCGTCCCGCCCGCCGCCTCGCCTCCGTGCCCTCTGCCGCGTCGGCAGCCTTCGCAGTTTCCGCGGGCACGCCCGCCGCGGGCCGCGGAGCGCCTGCGTCTCGGGCCGCCCGCGGGGGGGGGGGGGAGGCGAGGGGCTCCTTCCCCGTCGCCCCCGTCGCCCGCAGACCTCGGCCTCCTCCTCCTCCTCCTCCTCCTCCTCCTCCTCTCCTCCTCCTCCTCCTCCTTCTCCTCCTTCTCCTCCTCCTCCTCCTCCTCTTCCTCCTCCTCCCCCCCTCCTCACCACAGCACGGTTGAATGTGTTGGTGGGCTGGCGGGTTGGGAACATTGCGCCATGACCTGTCAAATCCTCAGATCCCCGCTCCGCTCGACGGCCCGAGCGCGGAGGACGAGGAAGCGACTGCCCCTCCGCAACTGCCCGCAAGCGTCGCAACGGGAAACGGCAAACGACACATACGAAATCGGAATCCGCACGTCTCTAGGGGTCGACGAAATAGCGCACGCCTTTGAAATGCGACCGCCCACTGGGATGAAGGGTGCAGTAATTGTATATATATATGTACATGAGAGAGAGAGAAAGAGAGATAGAACAAACAAAAAGCCTAGGAAAGCAACATCTACATCTACACCGACAGCTACATTAACATCTACACCTGCATCTACATCTACATCTACATCAACATCAACAGCGAGACTCACATCTACATCTACATCCACACCTACATCTACACCTACCTTCACATCTACATCTACATATACACCTACACCCTCATCTACACCTACACCTACATCTACATATGCATCTACAAGTTCGCATTGGTGTTGGTTTGCGCTGCATGCTATGCTATGTTATGATATGATATGCTATGCGATGCTATGTTATGCGTGGCTATGATATGATATGATGTGCTGTGCTAATGCTGCGCTGCGCTAAGCTAAGCTAATGTAAGCTAAGATGTGCTTCGCTATTATATGCTGTCCTATGATATGCTGCGCTATGCTATGTTATGCTATGCTATGCTATGCTATGCTGCGCTGTGCTATGCGATGCTAGGCTATGCTATGATATGATATGCTGCGCTATGATACGCTATGCTATGCTATGCAATGCGGCGCTATGCTATGATATGCTATGCTATGCTGTGCTGTGCTATAATATGCTATGCTGCGCTGTGCTATACTAAGCAATGATATGCTATGATATGCTATGCTGCGGTATGATATGCTGAGCTATGCTATGCTATGTTATGCTATGATATGATTGGCTATGCTATGCTAAGGTAGACTGTGCTAATGCTGCGCTGCGCAATGCTGCGCTGCTCTAAGCCAAGGTCAGATAAGCTGTGCTAAGTTAAGCTAAGCTAAGCTAGGCGAGGGTAAGCTAAGCTAAGCAAAGCCAAGCCAAGTCAAGCTAAGCTAAGCTAAGCTGAGCCTAGCTAAGCTAAGCTAAGCTAAGCTAAGCTAGGCTAGGCAAAGCGGAGGATCCTGGGGGAACCGCGGGGCGGATGCCGGGGGAACCGCCCGGGGCGTTTTGCACTGCCCGGCCCTTTAAGCTTCGCGAGTAAGAACCCTTCTAGGCAGAGCCTAGGTAGGGAAAAACTGTCAAAACGTTCGCCCCTCTTCTCCCCCCCGGAGGCCTCCGCCATTCCGCTTTCCGCTGCGGGACCTGCAATTCTCACGGCCCAGAGCGTCTTCCAGACGGCACCCAAGTTGACCTCGAATTTCATACTGTTGCCAGCGCGCTGTCAGGGTGCATTGTTGTTCCATTCCGACTTCTTCACGGCCCACTCTTGGCATCCAAATTTTTTGGTGCTGCTCCTCCACAGATCGTGTGCAGTCTGGAAGCTTCAAAACCATGCCAAATGCCCAGGGGTCGCCCGGCCGATCCGTTTGCGGGCTCGTCTAGTAATGTTTCTGTGTGCAGTCTGTGTGGGGGGGCAAAACGTCCCGGTGAACCAGGGTGCTTCTTTCGCCAGGACTCGATATCTCGATACCTCGATATCTCTGTATCGGGACACGCGGCTGGGCGGGGACTCAATATTTCGATATCTCGATAGTATCGGGGGCGTGGCCTGGCGGGGACGCGATATCTCGATACCTCGAATTCTTAATCGATGTCTCGATATTGGGTGGCGGAGCCGGGCGGGGACTCGGTATCTCGAAATCTCGATATCGGAGGGCGGGGCTGGGCGAGAACTCGATATCTTGATGTCTCGAAGTTGGGTGGCGGGGCGGGGCGAGGACTCGATATCTCGATGTCTCGATACCTATATGTCGGGGGGCGGGGCCGGGCGGAGACTCGATATCTCGATATCTGGGGCGGGGTAAGGGCATCTCGGTATCACACCTTGTGGACATCCACAGGCCTGCTGTGGGAAAGCGAATTGATAGATCGAGATATGAAGCCCCGCTATCAGACATCGACGGGTCCAGTCGCCGCCCTCCCAAGAACAGCGCTCGTCGTCGTCATCCTCCAGACGTGCAAAAACTCAGGCCCGCCCGAAACAGTCACCAAACGCATCGCGTAACTGTTTTGGGGCGGGTGCCTTGTCCAGGGGACGGGGGCAGACAGAAGGAAAGGGGAGGGGAGGGGAGGCCTTCCCCTCCCGTCCTCTTACACGACAACGGCCAGCCAGGCAGGGGATGAGGAGGTGGGGCGCTGTCAGGTAACGACGAAGTAGAATGCGTGTAAAACAAAACCTTTTTACGCCGATATGCTCCAAAGTACCTCGGCATCAAGGCACCTTACTAAGCAGGCAGCATGCATACAGAGGTCTAAATGGGGGCATCGCTAGCCAACGACATCGATCAGTATTATGTTTCGAGCGGTCCCCGTTGCAACCTTCCGCACTTGCCCCCAATGGTGCGCGCGCCTACTGAAACAATGCGTGCAACAAATGGCAGATAAAACGGAGAACCTAATGGCGGAGAAAGTGGTGGCATAGAATATCATAGCATATTACATGGCCGCCCCGTGCATATTAACTGTTCAGCCCCAACCGAATATGCTGTTTGGGAATACGTGATGGCATGTTAGGTTACGACATGACATTTCATGGCAATGTACTAATATGGCATAGTCTGATATGTTGGGCCACCCACTGCGATGTTATGTTATTAAACATGGTAATACGTTGTGTGGTGTTTCCCCTTGTGGGTGTATCAAAAGTTCTGCTACGAACTGCTCTCTTACATCAGAATGCACCCTAATACTAGGAAGGCTCGCTTCGTCATGTGATGCCATTATGTTCTGTGCTATCCTATTCAATTGAAACTGATCCTGTTCTACTCGAGCGAAGTCGTTTTATGCAATGCTGGAATGTATTCTATGGTGGTATGTTATGTTCTGCGCAGTGGTCTACTACTATGTGTTGCTGCGTCGAGTTGCACCTAACACGTGTCTCGTATGTTTACTGCGATGTGTTACGGAACGTTATACCCTCAAAGGTTACATCTCGTCTGCTTTCTCCTGTTATGGTGAAGCTTGGAATGCCCTGCTCGGTTTTCATCCAGTACGTTCCAATATACTCGATGGCATCGTATTACGGTTAGTTCAGCCTCGCTTCGTCATATCATAGTGTGTCCTACCTTGTTCTGCTACACCCCAGTAGATGTGAAGGCTTGTCCTGTACAGTTCTCATCCCGTCGATCACATACTATATCGCCTTTTCAAAAATGTCATTACATGTTCTGTGGTACACCTATAGCATGCTATGGGTTGAATATTTTGCTTTGTGAATAATTACTCATGTATAGTATGCTCTGCTATGGTGTACTATCGCCGACAACCTTCTACTACACCGTGTTGCTTAAGATTGAGGATTCTGGCCTATTCGATTCGATTGCATTTTTTTATGTACCGATACCATCGTGATGTCGTAACGCCAGGCCGGCGCGATGCCCTGCACATTTCGTCGAAAGCGCGAGGCGGGCAACTCAGGGACTACCGAAGGATCCGGGGATCTGGCGGCCGCGGTATGTAAGGTGGGCGGGTCGGAAACTCTCTATATACATGTGTGTGTACTTCGAACAATCTCTCTATATCAATATAGACATATACTTCGAGAAGTGTATATATATATACTTCTATACTCTAATCCCTTCTCCGCCTCCTCCTGCTCCCCTTGACCTCACGCCTCGGGTGACGTTTTCAGGCGACCAGGGGAGGCGGGAGGAAAGTGGGGGAAAGGGGAAGCCTTCTCCCCACTTCCTCTTCCACGACCACGGCGGGGTGCTGCCAGCGAGGGGGGCAGGGCGCTGTCAGGGTGCCACGGGGGTGAAGGAAGTGGGAGTCCAAACCTTTGCGACCCCGATATCCTGAATCGATATCTAGAGATCTCAATATCGGGATATAACTCGACATCTGCATACAGAGACTTATGTGGTAAACATCGCTTAGCCACGAGATCGCAAAACAAACAAAACACGCGGCCATCCGCAACATCAAGCTATCGAGTCCCCGCCTGGCCCCTCCCCCCGATATCGAGATATCGAGTTCCCGCCCAGCCCCGCCCTCCGATATCGAGATATCGAGTTCCCGCCCAGCCCCGCCCCTTGTATCGAGGTATCGAAACACCGAATCCCCTTCCGCCCTCGCCCCTCGAGATCGAGATATCGGAATACCAAATCCCCGCCTCTCCCCGCCCCCGATATCGAGGTATCGGAGTACCGACGCCCCGCCCGCCCCCGACCCCCAAACCGAGATACCGAGATACCGAACCCCCACCCAGCCCCGCCTCCCATGTCGAGATATCGAGATGTCGAGAGTCTTCCCGAATCCCGCTGGAACGCTTTGCGACCACAATGCTGATTTCGGCACCGTTCTGGACAGGCCCGAGCTTAATTGTCGACCGGTTCTGGCCCCAACTTTGGCCCCAGAGCACTGCCCAAACCGGCCCCGACGTGGGCCCGGCTTCAATGATGTTTGGACGGGGTGCGCGCTTCGGATGAGTTCGCGCTTGGTTCGGATGGGCCCAACGCGGAGGTGCTCGCGCTTGGGCAGTCAAGAAGCTCGCCTGGGCCGCCTCGCCTCTGAATTGTCTTTTTCGTGGACTCCGTCGGCCGCTGTTGGTATCTGCTTCGTGCTCATCGTGGGCAGTGCTCTGGCCATTTCTGGTCTCCTGCCGCGGATCATGGGCAGCGGTCCCGAGAGCCAACGTCCATGCCACTGATCCGTTGCTATTGACGACGGGCATCGATCAGCCAAACCGCATACCTGAGCCTAGTCGGCGATGGGATGGAGAAGAAACGGAACGCAACAAATAAGTGCAACACACACACAAACACACACACACACACAAACACCTGCAGGAGGGTCATCCCCCGTTCCCCCTATTCCATACTAGCGCTTCGCTACAGGGCTCTGAGAGAAGTGGGATAAGCAAAAAATGCACAACAGAGTCCCGCAGGGGGGGCGGGGATCCCGAGACCCCACCGCTCTCTAGGTCGTCTGCTCCAGCAGCCGTTTCGCTCGAGACTTCCCCACGATTAATTCAGAAATCGTGGTCTCGCCGCAGTGCTGGCCCCCCATAGCAAAAAACACTGGGGTGCACATGGCCGTGCTCGCATACATGGCCCCCCATGCAGCAGGCCTCCCACTCGTCGACCCGCCCCTTCAGCCGTGCTGCTGTGCGCGTGCTGCGCCGGGGTAACTTTCGGAACTGTTCCACCCCGCCTTAGGGGCGTCGAGCCGGCCCTTTGCCCCGTTCAGCCGTCTGCCTGCGCCTCCCGTGCACCAGCCGCCGTGCCGTGCCGCGGCTGGCGTGCCCTGCCTCCGGGCGCCCAGGCCTTTCGCCCGGAGGGCTGCTGCCCACGAGCGAGCTGCTGCTGCCGAAGGGCGGGGCCCAGTAAAACAGAGCTAGGACAGGTGCAGAGAAGGACCGGGACGGATCGGGAACCTCTGAGATCCGGCGGCTCCGAGAGATGCATGGGGCGCCGCGGCCTTCTGCGAGCGTTCTGGAACGCTCTGGAGCGATGTACCCCGATCCTGCACCAGGCGTTTCCAGCCCCCCCCACTTTGTTCTGTTAATGAAGTGAGCACATGATCGCCCCATTGCAGGTCAGGTCACTGAACGGCACGGCCGAGGGCGAACGACGAACGACAGACGAGGACGACGCGAGGGCGCGGGAAGTGGGCGGGCGAGGCACAACGAAGCCAGGAACGGGACAACATCGGATCGGGGCGCATCGAGGATCTCTGAGATCCAGCGGTGCTGCTGGATGCATCTGGCGCTGTACTCGCATTTTCCGTACCCGAAGTGGGTATAGAAAAATGGGTACAAAGCCTAACAACACATGCTGTCCAAGACCAAAGGCGGCCGCTGTCGGGCAGGCGGCCTCCTGCCTCGAATGGACAACATCCGCGGCGACGCGGACAGCAAATCCTGTTCTCAAAATGAGCAGGAGCTGCTGTCCGTCTGTGTGCCCAGTCTTTCCGTACCCAGCTCGATCGTCCCGAAGAACGCTCTGAGAGCGTGCTGGAACGCTCTGGACCTGGTTCACCCGGGCCCCCCCACATTGAACAACAAGACCTGCGGGAAAGAAGCCCCCGTGGCAGAGATCAGAGAGCCACACGGCCGAGGCCACACGACGAACGACAGACGAGAGGGCGACGGGAGGGCGCGGGGAGCAAGGGGGAGGGAGGAGTGGACGCCTCCCAACCTCCTCCTCCTCCTCCTCCTCCTCCTCCTCCTCCTCCTCCTCCTCCGCCCCCTCCTCCCCGCTCTCCTCCTCCTCCCCCTCCTCCTCCTCTTCCTCCTCCTCCTCCTCCTCCTCCTCCTCGTCCTCACTGGGGTCGGAGTAGATGTGGTCGGAGGATCGCGCCGCGTCGCTGATACATCGCCGATTCGATGCTGCGTCGGCGATGCGTCGGCGATGCATCGGCGACGTCGGCGAAGAGAACATCGGGCTGCACATCGAACCGCATCGCCGATGTATTGGCGGTGCGGCACGATCCACTGAACCCATGCGCTCGGAACCCAGTTCGGAGGCCTGGAGGGATCGGGGGCGGCCAAGAGGGGGCGTCCAAGAGGGGAGGGGGGGGGGGGGGGGACAAATCATGGCCGGGTGGCACGTGCGCGCCCCCAGGGGGGGGCCAGGGACGTGATGAAAGCGAGCGCCGCCCATGAAATCTGAGGAAACACCATGGCCCACGCCGTGATATTCCCCCCCCCCCCCCCTAGTCATCACCCCCCTCGGGCCCGCCCCCGAAGGGAGGGCGACAGGGAGAAGCGCGCGCCGGGCACGCGCCTCCCCGCCACCGCCCCGCCACGCCAGCCGCTCCAGCCGCCGACCCCCTCCCGCAGTCCGCTCCCAAGCAGCGCAGGGGCGCGCGTGCGCGGAAGCGCGCACCCGGACAAAAGCCGTGCGCAGGCTTCTCTTGCAGGCGGCAGCTGCACTGCGCGGGCAGGCGCTGGGCTGGGACTACGCAGCGACTCGCCTCGATCGTGCAGCCCCCAGCTGAAGGAGGAGGAGGAGGAGGAGGAGGCCCCATCTAACTCCCACTGACACGTCCCCCTTCTCCTCCGACAGTCCTTGTCCGTCAGAGTCGCCTCTCCGCGGCGGCAGGCTGGGCCGCCCTGGCCGTGGCAGTGGGCCACCCACTTTCTGTGGCCTTCCCCCCTTGGCGACTCTGCCGCTCTCTGCACTGGTTGCCCACCGGACCACCCCAGCCCAACCCGAAGACCCGCATTTATGGTTAGGGGGGGGTCTATGTGTTTTTCCGTATTCCCCGACCCCCCCCTGGAAATCGAGGGCAGATCGGGGCCCTCGGGTAGGTTGGGGTGGCTTGGTGGGCGGTGATGAACTGCCTTTCGGGTCGTCTGCTTTCAGTTCACGTCGGTTGCCGTGGCTCCTCGCCTGGTCAATGTGACCCTCCACCTATTGCAGCGTCGGAACATCCTGGCCCCCGATCTCTTCGCCTCCCCAGGCGCCGCCGTTGCTGGCTGCACGGCTGGTGCATCGAGAACCTGGGGCATGGTCGGTCCATTCCTCTCACGAGCGGTTCCCCGTGTGGCCTGGATGAGGCCGTCTCTGGGGTGTGCCCCTCATCGAAGATGCTTCCATTCGACTCTTGAAGCCCTCTGCCTCTGGGCGCTTGCGCCGTGTCTCTTTCTCTATCTCTGGCCTTCTTGTGCTCGTCTCTCGGCGTCTGTCCTGATGTTACTGCGAGGATGCTGCGCAAGTCGATGCCGAACAAAGCAAGGCGGAAGAGCGAGCGAGCGAGCGCGACGGTCGGGCAAAGGCCTGGTGGGGTATGGGGGCCCAGGCCCTGGTCAGCGATGAGTGGGCGATGCTCCCCCCCGACACTTGGGATTTTCTGGGAGCTCCCAGCACTCTCTCGGCGAGCCGCGCATGCGGGAGAGCCCTCCGAGGCGGGAATACCGCCGAGAACCGACGAGAGCGCCCTCGCACCTCGCACCTCGAGTCTCGCCCGACCCCCCCCCCTGAGACAATCCCCCCCTGTCGTGGCCCCTGGCCCTGGCCCGGACGCGGGCCCCCGGAGGTCTCGCCCGCTTCCCCAGGACCCGCTTTCCGTCCCAAGCCGCTCTCTGAATTACCAGCCTCGAACGTATCCCTATCCCTAAGATTGACACGCCACAAGGCGATGACAATCTTAGGGATTCGCCCTAAAAAGTAAGGGGATCCATAAGATTGGCATCGTGATGAGGAGGTGCCCAGCATAGGGATAGGGATATGTTCCAGGTTGGTAATTGAAGGCCCTGGGGCCGGCGAGGGCCCCCCGGGGAACAGCAAGGGCCAGAGACAACTCTTGCCGCGATTTTTCTGTCATCGTGCGAGGGGGCCCGGGGAGGACGATCCGCGCCGAGGGGCCAGGATCGGCGGCGCGCCGGGGGGGGGGACGTGGGAGGGGGCAGGCCTTCTCAGAAGGCGGCGCGGTTTGTCAGAAGCCCCCTCAGCCTGCTAAGAAGCCCCCCCGTGTCTCCGAAGAGGGCACAGAAAAGCTTCTCAGAGGCCGGAGGCCTCCCCGGCCCTCTGACAAGGCCCGACCCCTCCGCCTCCCCGCCCCCCCGGGCGCGCCGCCGAGGCGAGGGACTCCAGGGCCCCCCGCTGCGACGCGTCCCTCCTCCTCCTCCTCCTCCTCCTCCTCCTGCTCCTCCTCCTCCTCCTCCTGCTCCTCCTCCTCCGCCTCCTCCTCGTCGCCCTGGGGGGGGGGGGGGAACCCTCTCCCGTGAGACCCCCGGGGGCCCCCTCACTGCGGGCGCGCGCCCGCGCGCGCGCCTGGCTGCAGGCCTCCCTGGGGCAGGGCGTGGTGCTGGGGGAACACCTCCCGCGGCGGGGAGGCACACGCACGCCCGGTGCTGCTCTCGGGGTCAGATAGTGGGAGCGCGTCGCACAGGGAAGCGGAGGAGGAGGAGGAGGAGGAGGAGGAGGAGGAGGAGGAGGAGGAGCAGACCCTCACGTATCCAAAGGACGCACGATAAGGATGCACGGGCCCTGGAAGGCCGTGTCCACACTTTGTGAGCGGGACGCGGCCAGCGAAAGCGGCCAAGGATGGGCCAAAGGGGAAGGACGCAAGGGCAACCTTGCAAAATCGCTCATCCTTACTGTGCGGGTTGACTGTGCCATCCAATGCGGTTTAGTGTGATTCCGTGCAAGTCTAAAATGTCGGAATCCTCCAGCACTGACTGTCACGGAATGGCACAAATGGCACTAAGTGGTACTACATGGCGCTGGGTAACACTGAACGGTATGAAATTGCACTAACTTGTACGGACTTGTGAATATCGCGCTAAACGGCAATACAATGGATTGGGCACTTCCACTCACTAGCGCTACGTTGCACTACATTCAAGAATGGGCGAGGGCGAAAGAGAATTTCAACTGCACTAAATCATACTGGACCGCACTAGTCGGAATCAAATGGAGGCTGGGATTCACCAGGGTGCTACGCAAGGCTCCCATGACTTGCGACCTAATGGTGTTGCTCTTCATCCAGTTCCTTCGGTTTCTCCTCCACATCCTCCTCCTCCTCCTCCTCGCAGCCCTTCTTCTCCTGCGGCCCCTCCTCCGCTTTCCTCCCTTCCATATTGCTCTACTCGCCTCTCCCTTCCCATCGCTCTCGCTCACTCTCTCTTTCTCTCTCTCTCTCTCTCTGTCTCACTCTCTCTCTCTCTCTCTCTGAGACTCTCTATCTCTCTATAGGTAAACACCAATATGTAAAGATCTAGGTGTCGGTAAAGATATATCCCTCTCTCTCTCGCTCTCTCGGTCTCTCTTTCTCAATTTCTCTCTCTCTCTCTCTCTTACTGCTGCTGTGGTTTGCTCTCTTTCTCTCTCTCTCTCTCTCGCTCATTTTCTCTCTCCCTGTCTCCCAGTCTCTCTCTCTCTGCCTCTCTGTCGACGCATAGGTGTATGCATGTACAACCCCAAGACTGCATTTGCGCTTCGCGCCACGCACCTTGGTCCTTCAATGTCGGCCTGCGGGCGGAATGAGAGAGATGTAAATTAGTACAACCAACGATCTCCTTGCTGCTGTCTTCGTCATCGTGATACGTGTTTCCTTCTCTTTCCCTAATAATTCCGTTTCCTAGTTCTCGCCTTACCCTGCGAACCCTTCCCGTCCTCCTCAGCTTGTTTGCGGAGGCTTCTCCTTGGAAAGCCTTCTGGGGACCTCCAGCTACCATTGTACTTAAAGGCTTCCAGTGGGCTTCTGGAGACCTCCTGTGCGCCTTTTGGGGGGCCTGTGGGAGCTTTGCAGGCTTCATTGCCGCGAGCCACAGTCTGCCTCAACGACCAGGTTGCCACTCGGAGTGCTTCGGGAGTCGGCCTGGGGCCAGCTTGAGCTGTCAGGGGCCTCTCTTCGGGCCATCTTGTGGCCCTGTTGGGTGGGCCACCTTGGGGTTCTCTTGGACGGGCTGCAAGCTTGCTGGGGTCGTTGTTTATGACGATTTCGGGACCTCTCGGGCGCTCTCGGACGCCCAGGACGCCGAAGAACCGAGGACCAACAAACACCACACCAAAGCCAGAGGAAGAGCATTGCTTTTGCCTGTGGGAAGCATCGTGAGGGTTAACATTGGGCCGACTTCGGGCGTCTGGTGGGAGTCTGGGGTGCTTGGGGCTCTCGCGGAGCAGTTAGGCCATCATTGAAGGGGCCCCAGGACACACAAATAAATACACACAAATAAAATGATTCCCCATAGTTTCCCATGTTTTTTAGTTTTTGTCTTCCCCCACACTTCCCATATTTTCCCATATTTTCCTGGGAGTGGACGATTCATGGTGTCTGTGTGGTTTTCTCCCCCTCCTGAATCATCCTGACCCCACTGGGCCCGTCTTCGAGGGCCAGCAGGGAAGGTCCAGCAAGCTCTGGAGGCCGAGGGAACGCCCAGCATGGAGCGCCCCGGGGGGCACAGGGAGGCCAACTTTCCTTGGAAGGGGTGGGGGCCGGGGGTCCAGCCCTGTGAAAAGTATGCCTGCCAGCGTGGGCCCCAAAGAGCGCGCTGGTTGTAGCAATATGTATACCAGACGGCCCCAAGAGCGCCCCTGAAGCCCCCAAGAGCGCCCCACATGGGCCCCAAGAGGCACCCAGACGGCTCCAATAGGCCTCTAAGAGGCTCCCAATAGACCCCATACGAGGCCTCAAGAGGATCCCCGAGGTACCCAACTCTCCCTCCTGCTCCTCCCTCTCCTCCTTCTCATCCTTCTCCTCCTCCGACGACGACGATTCCTCCTCCATTCTCCCGCTCTTGGGGTATATGACAGCTTCCCCCGTCGCCCTTTGTTCTTCTGCATGCTCCCCCACTTCCCTCATCACCTCAACTCCCCTGGGCATCTTTTCTGGATGGGCTGGTGGGGATACGCAAAGCGTCAGCAAATCTGGCCCTCCAACGTCCTATCCGAAGGAATCCCATCGTGATGGTGCCATCCTCGGGGTTTCTGAAGCTCGAACTGACCGCGCGAACGGCTACTAACAGCCCTGATCCAATCAAGAAATGCCAGAGCTGTTCTGTCAGCCGGTGTTAAAGCCTACGCGTGCCTACGAATCCACGAGCTCGTTGCGCAGCCACAAAGCAACGCCTCCGCCAGCTCCGCGGGCAGCTGCGATCCGGCCGTCCACTGCAACGAAATTGAAGGCGGGTTGCTTCTTGTACGGCGTCTCGCTCTTCATGCCTGCCTGCGCCCTGAGCCAATCAGGCATCGGCACGGACACGCCGCACACCTTCAGGTCCTCGAAGTCGAACTCAAGCCGACGCGACTCATCAAGCCACCTCAGAGTGCCTTCGAACTCCAGGGAGAGCGGGCCAAAGTACACCCCGTTGCGAATGAACTTCTTTTCCAGATCGAAGCGCTGCACAGCAACGATGGGCACGTAGTTCACGCGGCCAATCTCGTCCTCGGTCTTCTTGGTGCCCGTGGTGTATATCAGGCGCCAGTCGCCCGTGAGCTGCTCGTCGAACCCCGAGGCACCGCTGCGGTCCTTGGCCCGCTCGAGGACCCGGATCGCCTCGAAGACCTGCTCGGGCGGCACGTCCCGCTGCAGCGCAGAGGTCGCCAGCGTGTCCAGCGACGCGGCGGCCTCCGACCCCGCGGCCTCCGCGGCCGCCGCGGCCGCCGCGGCCGCCGCGGCCGCCGCCCGCGGCCCCCGCGCGAGGCGGCCCGCCGCCGCGAGCCTGCCGCGGCGCGCGCGGCGGCGCCGCCCACGCCGCTGCGGGCGCCGCGGCACCTGCCGGCCCCAGCGTGCCCGAGGCAGCCCGCCGCGGCCGCCGCGGCCACCGCCGCGGCGGCGGCCCACGGCGCGAGGAGGGCGCGCCGACGCTCCGGGCGCCTCGGGGCCCGCCGCCGCGCCGGGGGCCCGCAGGGCCGCGCGCCGCGGGCGGGCGCGGGAGGGCCGCCCATGGCGTGCCGAGGCGACCCACGGCGCGCTCGAGGCCAGATCGCTCTGGGCTCGGGGCGCTGGGGTCCGTGTGCCCTGGCGTGCCCCCGGCTCTGCCATGGCCTCCCAGCTCTCTTGCCCCCGCCCCCGCTCTCCTCCTCGCTGCCTCCCCGCCCTCCTCTCCTCCTCACACGCCTCTTCTCCTCCGGCCCCTCCCGCTCCTCTACCTCTCCGTGCCCACTCCCCTCCCCCCTCCTCCCATGCCTGTCCTCACTCCTCTTCTCCTCCGGCCCCTTCCTGTCCTCACTCCCTTCTCCGTCCACACACCCCTCCTCCCCTCCTCCCATTCCTGCCCTTCATGCACGCCTCCCCACATCCACCTCCGATGAGGAAGAGGATCGATGCGGCCACAGCCACTGCGTCATGAGCCAGGAGGGAGGTTAAGAGAGAGGTGGGCGTACCCCTGGCACATCATTGTGAACCCAGGGCCTTCGTCGGAATTCCCACACTTTCTCAGCCGGTACCTCGAGGCGGGCCCCACTCAGACGACCACCGCCGAGCACAGTGGGCCGACGCGGGGGTTGCGCAAGGCAGCTCGGAGCCAGAAGCCAGGGCAGGGAGAGGAGCGCCACCAAAGAGAGGACCAGGAGCGCCACCAAAGACAAAGCCTACACGGAGCACAAGATGGGAACAGAGCGTGCAGCGAACCAACCAAAGGACGCCAGACGCAGCCAGCGCACGGGGCCCCCACGGGGCGCCCACGGGCGGGCACCGGCCAAAAACCTGGAGTTCGCAGCCAACGCACGGGGCGCTTCACGGGCGGGTGCCAACGGGGCGGCCCTGGGCGCCCACGGCCAAGTACCAGCTGAAAACTCCGAAACCTTGTCCAGTTACTGGAGAGGGAAGCAAGTAAGAGCCCCGAAATGTAGGCACTGCTTCCTGATAGTTGTCCAAGAGGGCTCTGAGGACAACGCACAAGGGCCCAACGCGGCCAGCACCATGACGGCCCCGAGCGGGACTCAAGCAGGGTCACAAGAGTGCTCCGAAGTTGCCCAAGACGTCCACGTGACGGCCGACAGACAGCCAAAGAGGACCCCGGCAAGCGAGCTGGGCAGCCCGAAGCGGCCCCGATAGTTACGAAGGAGGAGTAGCATTAAGTCGGGCACGTCCCTCTACAGGAGGCATATTCAAAAATACGTTTCGACTAGTTTTAGTAACCATTTTGGAATATTGTTTGACAATGTATTGCTTTTCGTCCAAAGTCCGCCGGTACGAGGACATGCCCGAACTAAGAGTAGCACGAGAGGCCCAACCGAGAGAATCCTGGAGGCCTCTTTCGGGAGCCTCCCGGAAGCTCCGAGGGAGGACCCCACGAGCTGACTGCGCCTAGGTCGGGTATGTCCCCCTCCAGGCGGATCCTGGACGACAAATCTAACAGCAAAAAAGACTTCGACAATGTTCAAAACTAGTCAAAACAACTGTTCAAGACTATTTGTTGACCATTGTTGACTATTGCTGGCTGTCTTTTTTTTGACTATTTTTTTACTAGTTTTGAACATTCCCCCTGTAGAGGGACAGGCCCGACTTCATGCCAACCGCAGGGGGCTGCCGATGGGATGGCATGCCCAGAGAGGCCGTGCGCGGCCAACGGCGACGACGACGACGACGACCAAGAAGACGACGACGACGACGACGACGACGACGACGACGACGACGACGACGACGACGACGGACGACGGACGACGGACGACGGACTACGAACGACGATGACGACGCCGACCTGGAGTTGGAAGCGCTTCGGCTGTTCCCTCGACCGGATGCCGAATCACTTCGCCTCGCCTTCCCCTTCGGCTTCCGCCTGGGCTTCCCCTTCGGATCTGAGCCGCCGCCCTCCACAGTCGGACGTGTCGCTGGCTAGATCCGATCCGCCGCCGCCCCCCAGTCTGGACAGAATGCCTGGGCGCAGCCCGACGATCAACCTCAGCACGCCATCCCCCTCCGTGACGCCCCTCACGCCTCTCGAGCTTCCCCCTGGCCGCACGCGATGGGGGACGCGAATCACGGCAGGGGATGGCCTGCCAGGGGTCCGGCTGGGCCGCCCCTGACGACGCGGGGGGGCTGGCTCCCGGGGGGCAGACGGTGACCCGGGCTCGGCCACGCAGCGCCGCTGGGTCGGCACTGCCCCCCCCCCCCCGGCAGCGAAGCCAGGCACCGAGAGGGCCCCGAGCGGCGAGGACTGGGCGAGTGGGGCTCGACGCTGTCCCTCCCCGGGCCAGTCTCTCCCCTGTCTTCCGGGCCCTGGCTCGGGTCGCGGGCACCCCCAGAGAGCCCTCGGCGAGGCGCAGCTGCCAACCCCCCTGAGCTCCTCCTCCTCCTCCTCCTCCTCCTCCTCCTTCTCCTCCTCCTCCTCCTTCTCCCAGTCCCCCCCCCCCTCCCCTGTCGCTGCCCCCCATGATCCAGACATCCGACGAGACGATTGCTGCACCCGCGGCCGCAGAGTTCCTGGCCCCTGCTCTGTCGTCCCGGGTCCACTGTGGATGGTCCAAGGGCCGAATGCCAGGCCCGCCCATTGTTGAAGTCGGCCCAAGCCGGGGTCGGCCCAGGCCCTGTCGCGAAGCCCGGCCAGCCGTAGCTCCCGAGCCCCTGGTCGGCGGAGGGCGGATACGGGGGATCGGCCCAGCGTGGCTCACAAAGCCGGGCCAGCCAGGGCTGGCTGACCCCGTCAGCGCGGACCCTCCTTACGCCACGGGCCCAAGGAGACACAAAACAACATACACACAAACTTGAGGATTCCCTAGCTTTCGGTGGTTTTCGCATCCCCCCCATCTCCCGCACGTCCCCATACTATCTACCAGGCCCCTGCAAACGGGGCGTTAGTAAACGGGCCCAGTAGCCAAGGGTGCGTTTTCTATGGTGTTTTCAAAAAGTTGAGCTGCCGGGCACAAGTGCGAGGTACCCCCCTGCACAGTCTATGATGATGTTTCGACGTTTTGGCCGCCCCGATGTGTCACGCACCAATGTAAGGCAAATGCCCTGTCGCCCCGTTCTCGCTTGCACAGGCCCCTTCGCTACGCTTGCAGGGGCCTGGATCTATAGGGATTCGACGCTGATTTGTGTATATCTGTCGCGTCCCCCTATGTATTTCTGTATGTTTGAAGTTCGTGCATGTACGCATTATGCAGAACTTTTTTAGGTGACCAAAAAGGGGGTCCAGCTGAAAGGGGGTGGTGCAATAGATTTCGTGCAATTGTATTGCAAATGTGTTGTGCCGGAGAATTGTCTTGCATTGTATTGCAAGACGTGCGTTGCACGAGAAAAAAGTCAGCAATACGCTTGCGCCCCGAAATGTACTGCATGTCCCAGATGTGTTGCGACCCCACACGCATCCAAATCTATTGCGCCACCCCCTTGTCGCTGGGCCCCCCTGTTGGGTCAACCCAGTGTATTGAATCACGTGCGCCCTGATGGGGTCGGCTACACGCAGGAGTGACCCTGGGTAAGAGTGACCTTTGGTGCGCGGCTTTTTGGGGGCCGCGGGGGGGCCAAACACAGGCGCGCAAGGCGCCACTCTCGCATCGCGTTCGGCGATGGGGGAACCCCACTGTGCCCGCGCTAAAGGCCACTCCGGCGAAAGGTCACTCCCACGCCTAGTCCATGGGGACAGACCGGGAGCCGACGCACCGGCGGCCGAACCGCCTGCGGCAGCGGCGGCAGGTGCGGCGCCGCGGCGACGGGGAGCGGGTGCAGCTGGCCGACCTGCGGCGGGCGCCGCCCGTGGGCTGAGGCTTGACTCGGGCCCGTCCCTCCACAGAGAGAACATTCCAAGATAGTCCAAAGAATAGTCAAGGGACTCATTTTTGTATGTTTTGAACATTTGCTGGGTTTTGTTCTGACCATTCTGTACTTTCGTCCAAAATCCGCCTGCAGGGGGACACGCCCGACCCAAGCTTAGGTGGGGGATGTCCTCCTGCAGGCGAATCCTCAAGGACACATTCAAGATAGTAATCAAAGAAAGCCCAAACAGATTCAACAGATCATAGAAAAACGTCCGCAAACTGCTTTTTTGTATGACTAGTTTTGAATATTCCTCCTGTAGGGGGGCACCCCCGATTTAACCATGGGCCCCGGGCACGGCCGCGGACTGGCGCCAGTTGCCAAGCTCTGCCCTCGATCTCCGACGATACGAACACGACAAGACGAGGGTAAATTCGGGTGAGGAGACAATCGAAACTCTCCGGGATCCGGCGGTTCTGGAGGATGTCTCGGGCGCCGCGGCCTTCTCAGAGCGTCCCGGAACGCTCTGAGAGCGTTCCGGGACGCTCTGGAACGGATTGTATCCTCGTCCCAGCCCCGTCCGACGATACGGTCGGAAACTCTTGCTCAGCGTGTCGCTGCAGTGGCCCCAGCCACATGCTATGCCCTGCAAGCGGATGTCGTGTCGCTCCGCTCCCCGGATGGCAGGCTCGGAACAATTCGGGACGTGGACGCTTGGGGACCAGGAAGTGGATAGCGTGTCGCACCGAGGCGCGGTGGGCCAGAACCGATGGAATCCCGTCACTTGGCCTCGGGGCCATCAGAAGTTGGCCCCGAGTGCAAAACTACCCTCAGGGGTCGG